CAGACACATATACAGAATGAAGGTAACAGACACATATACAGAATGAAGGTAAGAGACATATACAGAATGAAGGTAACAGACACATATACAGAATGAAGGTAACAGACACATATACAGAATGAAGGTGACTCACACATATATACAGAATGAAGGTAACATGCACATATACAGAATGAAGGTGACTCACACATATATACAGAATGAAGGTAACAGACACATATACAGAATGAAGGTGACTCACACATATATACAGAATGAAGGTAACATGTACATATACAGAATGAAGGTAACAGACACACATACAGAATGAAGGTAACATGCACATGTATAGAGAATGAAGATAACACACATCCAGAATGTAGGTAACACACAAGTGCTCACACCCATATATACAGAATGAAGGTGACAGACACATATACAGAATGACAGTGACTCACACATATATACAGAATGAAGGTAACATGCACATATACAGAATGAAGGTAACATGCACATATACAGAATGAAGGTAACAGACACATATACAGAATGAAGGTAACAGACACATATACAGAATGAAGGTAACAGACACACATACAGAATGAAGGTAACAGACACACATACAGAATGAAGGTAACAGACACATACAGAATGAAGGTAACAGACACATATACAGAATGAAGGTAACATGCACATATACAGAATGAAGGTAACAGACACATATACAGAATGAAGGTTACAGACACATATACAGAATGAAGGTAACAGACACATATACAGAATGAAGGTAACATACACATATACAGAATGAAGGTAACAGACACACATACAGAATGAAGGTAACAGACACATATACAGAATGAAGGTAACAGACACACATACAGAATGAAAGTAACATGCACATATACAGAATGAAGGTAACAGACACATATACAGAATGAAGGTAACAGACACATATACAGAATGAAGGTAACAGACACACATACAGAATGAAGGTAACAGACACACATACAGAATGAAGGTAAGAGACACATATACAGAATGAAGGTAACAGACACACATACAGAATGAAGGTAACAGACACATATACAGAATGAAGGTAACAGACACACATACAGAATGAAGGTAACAGACACATATACAGAATGAAGGTAACAGACACATATACAGAATGAAGGTAACAGACACATATACAGAATGAAGGTAACAGACACACATACAGAATGAAGGTAAGAGACATATACAGAATGAAGGTAACAGACACATATACAGAATGAAGGTGACTCACACATATATACAGAATGAAGGTAACATGCACATATACAGAATTATGGTGACTCACACATATATACAGAATGAAGGTAACAGACACATATACAGAATGAAGGTGACTCACACATATATACAGAATGAAGGTAACATGTACATATACAGAATGAAGGTAACAGACACACATACAGAATGAAGGTAACATGCACATGTATAGAGAATGAAGGTAACACACATCCAGAATGTAGGTAACACACAAGTGCTCACACCCATATATACAGAATGAAGGTGACACATATATACAGAATGAAGGTATCACACATATGTAGAATAAAGGTAAAGCACACACAAATATATACAGAATGAAGGTAACACACACACACGTATCGAGAATGAAGGTAACATATCATGAATAAAGGTAACACACATATATACAGAAGGAAGGTGACACATATACAGAATGAAGGTAATGCCCACACGTATATACTGAATTAAGGTGACACACTTCCAGAATAAAGGTAAAATGCACACATATACAGGATGAAGGTAACACACACACGTCATATACAGAATGAAGGTAACACATATTCATAATTGAGGTAACACATATACGGAATGAAGGTAACACATTTACAGAATGAAGATAACATATACAGAATGAAGGTAACACACATACAGAATGAAGTTAACATATATACAGAATGAAGTTAACACATATACAGAATGAAGGTAACACACATACAGAATGAAGTTAACACATATACAGAATGAAAGTAACACATATTCATAACTGAGGTAACACATGTACAGAATGAAGATAACCCATATACAGAATGAAGATAACACATATACAGAATGAAGATAACACACATACAGAATGAAGTTAACACATATACGGAATGAAGATAACACATATACAGAATGAGGGTAACACACATACAGAATGAAGTTAACGCACATACGCAGACAGAATGAAGGTAAACAGACCTGATTATCAAGATGGAAAGTAACACACACATATACAGAATGAAGGTAACACACACACATATACATAATGAATGTAACACAAACACATACATATGAAATGAAGGTAACAGACCCAATTATCAAGAATGAAGGAAACACAGATATTCAGATCATCATGATATGGCTGAAATATAGCCGATGTAACATTAAACTTTAACTCACTCACTCAAATATATACAGAGTGAAAGGTAATCCACACATCAAGAATAAAAATAACATGAAAACATATACAGAATGAAGGTAGCACATACACACACATCCAGAATGAAGGTAACATGCACATATATACAGAATGAAGGCAACACACACACACATTCAGAATGAAGGTTACACACACATATATATAGAATGAAGGTTACACACACACACACATCCAGAATGAAGCTTACACACACAAATATACAGAATGAAGGCAACACACACACATCCAGAATGAAGGCAACACACACACACACATCCAGAATGAAGGTTACACACACATATATATAGAATGAAGGTTACACACACATATATACAGAATGAAGGTTACACACACATATATATAGAATGAAGGTTACACACACACACATCCAGAATGAAGGTTACACACACATATATATAGAATGAAGGTTACACACACATATATACAGAATGAAGGTAACACACACACACACATCAAGAATGAAGGTTACACACACATATATATAGAATGAAGGTTACACACACACACATCCAGAATGAAGGTTACACACACATATATATAGAATGAAGGTTACACACACATATATACAGAATGAAGGCAAAACACACACATCCAGAATGAAGGCAACACACACACACATTCAGAATGAAGGTTACACACACATATATATAGAATGAAGGTTACACACACACAAATCCAGAATGAAGGTAACACACAGACACACACATCCAGAATGAAGGTTACACACACAAATATACAGAATGAAGGCAACACACACACATCCAGAATGAAGGCAAAACACACACACACACACATCCAGAATGAAGGTTACACACACATATATACAGAATGAAGGTAACACACACACACACACACACACACACATCCAGAATTAAGGTTACACACACATATATATAGAATGAAGGTTACACACACACACATCCAGAATGAAGGTAACACACACACATCCAGAATGAAGGTTACACACAAATCCAGAATGAAGGTTACACACACATATATACAGAATGAAGGTAACACACACACACACACACACACATCCAGAATTAAGGTTACACACACATATATATAGAATGAAGGTAACACACACACACATCCAGAATGAAGGTTACACACACATATATACAGAATGAAGGTAACACACACACACACATCCAGAATGAAGGCAACACACACACACATCCAGAACGAAGGTTACACACACATATATGTAGGATGAAGGTTACACACACACACATCCAGAATGAAGGTTACACACACACATCCAGAATGAAGGCAACACACAAATCCAGAATGAAGGTTACACACACATATATACAGAATGAAGGCAACACACACACATCCAGAATGAAGGTTACACACACACACATCCAGAATGAAGGTTACACACACATATATACAGAATGAAGGCAACACACACACACATCCAGAATGAAGGCAACACACACACACACATCCAGAATGAAGGTAACACACACACACATCCAGAATGAAGGTTACACACACACACATCCAGAATGAAGGTTACACACACACACATCCAGAATGAAGGTTACACGCACACACACATCCAGAATGAAGGTTACACACACACACACACACATTCAGAATGAAGGTTACACACACATATATACAGAATGAAGGCAACACACACACATCCAGAATGAAGGTTACACACACACACATCCAGAATGAAGGTTACACACAGACATCCAGAATGAAGGTTACACACACATATATATAGAATGAAGGTAACACACACACACATCCAGAATGAAGGTTACACACGCATATATACAGAATGAAGGCAACACACACACACACACATCCAGAATAAAGGTTACACACACATATATACAGAATGAAGGTTATACACACACACATCCAGAATGAAGGTTACACACACATATATTTAGAATGAAGGTAACACACACACATCCAGAATGAAGGCAACATACACACACACATCCAGAATGAAGGTTACACACACACATCCAGAATGAAGGTTACACACACATATATACAGAATGAAGGTTACACACACACACACATCCAGAATGAAGGTTACACACACATATATACAGAATGAAGGCAACACAAATGCACATAATGTTGCTTTCTAGTAAACAGTGGTGATGAGCAGAACAAGAAAAGGAAGTTTGATGTGACTGTGTGTTTCAGACAATGAGAGGAGATGTGACTGTGTGTTTCAGACAATGAGAGGAGATGTGACTGTGTGTTTCAGGCAATGAGAGGAGATGTGACTGTGTGTTTCAGGCAATGAGAGGAGATGTGACTGTGTGTTTCAGACAATGAGAGATGTGACTCTGTGTTTCAGGCAATGAGAGGAGATGTGATTCTGTGTTTCAGGCAATGAGAGGAGATGTGACTGTGTGTTTCAGACAATGAGAGATGTGACTGTGTGTTTCAGGCAATGAGAGGAGATGTGACTGTGTGTTTTAGGCAATGAGAGGAGATGTGATTCTGTGTTTCAGGCAATGAGAGGAGATGTGACTCTGTGTTTCAGGCAACGAGTGGAAGACACGGTTTGAGACCCAGCAGGAGATGAATCAGCAGCTGGAGAGGCAGATACTTATCTTCCAGAACAAGGTGGAGGAGGCACGCAGAAATGTCCGGGAAGGTAAGTCACACATCTGTGAGGGTAGGTCACACATCTGTGAGAGTAAGTCACACATCTGTGAGGGTGGGTCACACATCTGTGAGAATAAGTCACACATCTGTGAAAATAATTCACATCTGTGAGGGTAGGTCACACATCTGTGAGGGTAGGCCACATCTGTGAGGGTAGGTCACACATCTGTGAGGACAGGTCACACATATGTGAGGGTAGGTCACACATCTGTGAGGGTAGGTCACACATCTGTGAAATAATTCACATCTGTGAAAATAATTCACATCTGTGAGGGTAGGTCATACATCTGTAAAAATAATTCACATCTGTGAGGGTAGGTCTCACATAGGTGAGGTACGACAGCATATATCTATGAGTGTAGGTCACACATAGGTGAGGTACGGAAGCATATATCTATGAGTGTAGGTCACACATAGGTGAGGACAAGTCACACATATGTGAGTGTAGGTCACACATCTGCGAGGTCACATATGAAACTACATCCATGAATGTCCTGTCCACAAGTTTAACATTGGAGTATGTATTTCAGCTAACAAGTCCCCACGGGACAATCGCAACTTTGATGACATGGAGGCCAGTCCGCAGATGATCAAGAACCTGGAGAAGGAGAAGCAGAGTCTGTATAACCAGCTACGTGACCTGGAGTGGAGGCTAGACCAGGAGTCCAAGGTGGGTGTGGCACACTTGGACATAAAGCAGAATGAAAGTTGGTAATTAAAAAACACAACAGACCTCTTATTGTGCTAAGCCTGGTGCAGTCAAAGTGTTTCAGGACATTCTGACAAATTCTGGTTCCTGTTGCAGGCCTACCACAAGGCCAATGACGAGCGGAAACAGTATGTGCTGGAGATAAATGCCACCAAGGGCCACTTGGAAGATGTGAGGATGCGGCAGAAGATGGCACTCCTGGATGGCAGTAGCACAGCAAGGACAGCAAGAGATTCAGGAGGGTGAGTACATCGGCAAGAGATTGAAGAACATGTGGTACAAGTCAAAATCATTTTTGTCTCTGATATGTCCAATTTTGAATTGTCCTCCACAGCTGTCCATAAAACTTTTCGAAAGCTTTACTGGGGCCTTGAATGTGCAATTTGAGAAAGAGTCATAAGATTCACTTTGAAATCTTGGTGAAAACACATGTTCAAATGTACCTCTGAATTTGTGAAATGTAGACAGCAAAGCCTGTAGCTGCTGGAGCATTGCTTGCCATATAGGCAAAGCTGACTATTGGGAAGCTGAAATCATCCCTCTTGTTAATGTAGCCTTGTTGATAGTTTTTTGTCACTTTGAATCTGAAACATCCAGGAAAGGGTTTTTGGCTTACATTGACATCAGTTGTTAACAAATGGCATTATATTTACATTTTTTATTCAGGAATATTCCCGATGATCAAAGAGTGCTTGACCCAAGGCGTGGACCAATCAAGAAAACAGCAGGAGTCAAGAACCTCCCGAGTCTAGAGATGGTGTGATAAAGGGAGACAACCATGTCAGTTACTGAACCAATGGAAGCATGAACACATGGCCTGTTACTGGTGTGAAGGTTCTATCTTACACAGACCTGTGTGGTGGAATGAAAGCTATCTGTGATAACTTATTTATTATCTGTAGTCACACTGGCAGACTCAATACATACACTGGATTATAGATGGGTGCAGGGATTGTGCAGACGTATTTCTACTTAGCAGGCACAGATCAGCTGCAGTTTGTCTGTATTCTTAATGGTTCACGATTTTGACAATATAACACTCTGATCCAGTAAGGAAACAACTCTGTGTCCTCCTGCCATGTGTCCTACAACCATGTGTAGAATAGCCTTAGACACAGGGACTTCACATACAGACACGGGGACTTCACATACAGACACAGGGACTTCACATACAGACACGGGGACTTCACATACAGACACAGGGACTTCACATACAGACACGGGGACTTCACATACAGACACAGGGACTTCACATACAGACACAGGGACTTTACATACAGACACAGGGACTTCAGATACAGACACAGGGACTTCACATACAGACACAGGGACTTCACATACAGACACGGGGACTTCAAATATAGACCCACAGGGACTTTACACATGAGAAATATATTCCTGATCTCTTGATTTGTGTGTAAAGCTGGATGGTTTTGAATGAGAAAATTGAATGTTGAAGCCATGCCATACTGTGGTAGTGACGATGTCAACCATGTCTCCAGTAACACGCACTGTTCTGAACTCAAGGATTAGGTGCCCGTCTCCGTGACGACAGAGACAACTGTACAACTACGCAAGCTTCATCAACAAAACAGGGTTCCATCGTAACCAATGCTTATTAATGAGAAAATCTCAAAATAATTTATTATTGAATAAGAATATATATTCTCCCTCCAAAGACACTTATGGTCCTTTCATGACTCAGTAGGTCAATCAATTTTGACTGTTATCTATTCTGATTAAGAGATAGAGTTTAAAAAAATGATAACATTGTACATGTTTGGATACTATATATAGATTTTGAGAATATTGGAAATTTCCTGATAACTTTATATTTATGTCGATACTGGATTCATGAAATACTTGTATAATTACCTTGAATGCTCCCAGTTTGTTTTACGATGGAATTCATATCAATCATGCTGTTATGTATCCGACAATGTTATTATAATATACAGAGATTCATTGTAATAATTATAAGCTATATTATACATGTCGATGCACCTTGACCTCCAGTCAAGATAAATAGATGGGACTGTTGTAGCAGAAAACAACACCATAACACATCACTGTAGTCACACTCATAGACAGAGCAGAAGAAATCAAACAAGCTAGAACTTGTCAACTTCCTTCTTACCCAGGACACATAGATGAGTACAGTCACCCGTGAAGATCCTGGTTAGAATAGGTCTTCTGCAACCCATGCTTGTCATACGAGGCGACTAACGGGATCAGGTGGTCAGGCTTGCTGACTTGGTTGATGCATGTCATTGTATCCCAATTGCATAAATTGTTGCTCATGATGGCAATCACTGTATTGTCTGGTCCATACTTTATTATTTACTCGGCGTGTTACGATAAATCGAAATATCGATATATTGCTATTGGTAAGCACTTAAAATCAATAAATCAGTTTCCGATCAATAGTATCGATTTCAATCAGGAATATCAATAGTTTCGATTGTATTTAAAATACATGCAATGCTGTTCAAATTTGTTTTTCTTTTGATCATGAGTGGTAGTAATTTACACATGGTAATGTGGAAGCTTCTTTTTCTTAAATTATTAGGGTAAAGGAAAAACAAATCGGTCATATCTCAAACTTTACTTTTTATTTGTTGTTATGGTTATCACATTCAAAGGAAACTTCAGTTCCAAGGTTTAGTTCAACTCTTAAATCCATCTAAAATGATACACTGAAAACTATCGATATATATCGCAATAGTTGCTTGCAATATCAATAGTTATCACAATGGTTTCTTTCAATAGCAATAGTTATCGCAATAGTGATTTCCAGACCAATGGTCACCCCTATTATTTACAGACCGCCGCATATAGTGGAATATTGCTGAGTTCAGTGTTAAACAACAAGCAGGATTAGTTAAGTCAACTCTCGTTCTTACCAAGGACACAACCGTGTAGCTCATTACTGTTACATATGCTTGTGTAGGGCACAGCTGTGTGTTGAAGACGATTCCCATTTCCCCACGAAGCCCATTTCTGGTGTCACCTGCCTCAATATTGATGGAATATTGCTAAAAGAGGCGTAAAACCATACTCACTCACTTATTACTGTTACATATGCTTGTACAGGGTACAACAGTGCAGATGACTACTGATATATATGGGGGCACGGGTGGCCCAGTCGTCTAAGTCGCCACGATTCGCTGTGCAGAGTTGCGTCCCTTGGACACGTCAGAAACCTATGATTGTGGGTTCGAATCCTGGTTCACCCTGATTATGTTTCTAGGTTTGTCAGCACAATACCTGTGCTTGTGGGTTTCACCAAAGTGGTAAACATCTGAGACCTGCATCACTTCAGGCTTTTCTCCCACATTAAACTGACACGCCGTGATATAACTTGAATACTGTTAAACCCAACTCACTCACTCACTGTTATATATGCCTGCACAGGGCACCACTGTGTAGTTGACTACTGTTATATATGCTTGTACAGGGCACTATTACGTAGCTCATCACTGTTACAATTGCTTGTACTGTTGAATGTAGCTCTCTGCACAGTATTATATCAAAGACCATGTTATTCTATTATTCTACCATTGATAGAACATGTTATATTTGACTTTAAATGAATTCATAAAACAGACTTTAATCATTGACTGTAATAATATCTTTTTACTTTAGTCTTATTTTTAAAATAAAACTTCATCCTCGTCTGTGTGAAATTTGTTTGTAGTTCATATTGGGAATGCTATGACACACTACACGAACACGGAATAGAAAGACGGCCACATCTCACTGGACAGTGCTTTATATAACATACTAGGGACACCGAATAGAAAGACAGGAACATCTCACTCTACAGTGCTGTATATAACATACTATGTACACTGAATAGAAAGACGGGAACATCTCACTGGACAGTGCTTTATATTACATTCTAGGACGCGGAATAGAAAGACGGAAACATCTCACTGGACAGTGCTTTATATAACATACTAGGGACACTGAATAGAAAGACGGGAACATTTCAATCTACAGTGCTTTATATTACATACTAGGGACACGGAATAGAAAGACGGGAACATCTCACTCTACAGTGCTTTATATAACATTCTAGGGACGCGGAATAGAAAGACGGAAACATCTCACTGGACAGTGCTTTATATAACATACTATGGACACGGAATAGAAAGACGGGAACATCTCACTCTACAGTGCTTTATATAACATTCTAGGGACGCGGAATAGAAAGACGGAAACATCTCACTGGACAGTGCTTTATATTACATACTATGGACACTGAATAGAAAGACGGGAACATCTCACTGGACAGTGCTTTATATAACATACTAGGAACGCGGAATAGAAAGATGGGAACATCTCACTCTACAGTGCTTTATATTACATACTATGGACACGGAATAGAAAGACAGGAACATCTCACTGGACAGTGCTTTATATAACATACTAGGAACGCGGAATAGAAAGACAAGAACATCTCACTCTACAGTGCTGTATATAAACATACTATGTACACTGAATAGAAAGACGGGAACATCACACTGGACAGTGCTTTATATTACATTCTAGGGACGCGGAATAGAAAGACGGGAACATCTCACTGGACAGTGCTTTATATTACATACTAATTAACGGAATAGAAAAACAGGAACATCTCACTGGACAGTGCTTTATATAACATACTAGGAACACGGAATAGAAAGACGGGAACATCTCACTGGACAGTGCTTTATATAACATACTATGAACGCGGAATAGAAAGACGGGAACATCTCACTGGACAGTGCTTTATATTACATACTAGGAACACGGAATAGAAAGACGGGAACATCTCACTGGACAGTGCTTTATATTACATACTAGGAACACTGAATAGAAAGACGAGAACATCTCACTGGACAGTGCTTTATATAACATACTAGGAACACGGAAGAGAAAGACAGGAACATCTCACTTTACAGTGCTGTATATAAACATACTATGTACACTGAATAGAAAGACGGGAACATCTCACTGGACAGTGCTTTATATTACATACTAATTAACGGAATAGAAAGACGGGAACATCTCACTGGACAGTGCTTTACATAACATTCTAGGAACACGGAATAGAAAGACGGGAACATCTCACTGGACAGTGCTTTATATTACATACTAGGAACACGGAATAGAAAGACGGGAACATCTCACTGGACAGTGCTTTATATTACATACTAGGAACACGGAATAGAAAGACGGGAACATCTCACTGGACAGTGCTTTATATAACATACTAGGAACGCGGAATAGAAAGACGGGAACATCTCACTGGACAGTGCTTTATATTACATACTAGGAACACGGAATAGAAAGACGGGAACATCTCACTGGACAGTGCTTTATATTACATACTAGGGACACTGAATAGAAAGACGGGAACATCTCACTGGACAGTGCTTTATAGATCATACTAGGGACGCGGAATAGAAGGACGGGAACATCTCACTGGACAGTGCTTTATATTACATACTAGGGAAACGGAATAGAAGGACGAGAACATCTCACTCTACAGTGCTTTATATTACATACTAGGAACTCGGAATAGAAAGACGGGAACATCTCACTGGACAGTGCTTTATAAAACATACTTGGAACGCGACAGGTGAGGTGAAATGTGGTTCAACTTGTATAATGATGTACATGTATATGTACGTGTGTGGGGGTGGGTGGGTGCACGTGTATAAGTACGTGTGTGTGGATGGGTGCACGTGTATATGTACGTGTGGGTGGGTGGGTGGGTGAACGTGTACGTGTGTGTGGGTGGGTGCACGTGTATATGTACGTGTGTGTGGCTGGGTGCACGTGTACGTGTGTGTGGCTGGGTGCACGTGTATGTGTGTGGGGCTGGGTGTACTAGTGAGAAACCTGTGGAGATCCATGGTAGAATAGGTCTTCAACAACCATTGCTTGCCGTAAAAGGCGACTTTGCTTGTTGAAATAGGCGACTATGGGGATCGGTCGGTCAGGCTCGCTGACTTGGTTGATGCATGTCATCGTATTCCAATTCGGGATTGATGCTCATAATGTCAATCACTGAATTGTCTGGTCCAGATTCGATTATTTACAGACCGCCGTCATATAGCTGGAATATTGCTGAGTGCGGCGTTAAACAAGTAATTAAACAAACAAACAAACAAAACTAGTGCGGACTAATGCTGGTACTATAGTGCACACCCACTGAGATGAATACCCGATTCAGACATAGTACACTGACTATAGTGTTTAAGACTAATAATGCTGAGAGCCAGGCAGGGTAACAACAAGTTCCATCTTTGAACGTCTTTTGGTATGACGCGGCCGGGGATCGAACCCCGATCTTCCACTCTCCGGGTTGACGCTCTACCACTAGACCACGAAGGTGGCCCCCCTCTAGAACAGTGCTCTATGTAACACTATGAACACATGCAATAAAAGACCGGAACAGGTCATAATCGTATCCCGGTAGATTCGTAAGATGCGACTAACGGGATCGGGTGGTCAGGCTCGCTGACTTGGTTGATGCATGTCATCGTATCCCAATTGCGTGGATCGATGCTCATGATATCAACCACTGGATTGTCTGGTCCAGACTCGATTATTTACAGACCGCCGTCATATAACTGGAATATTGCTGAGTGCGGTGTTAAACAACAAACCAAAACCAAAACGTATCTCGGTAGTTTCGCTACCTGTAGTTCAAGTCTTTGAAAGGCATTTAGAAGTGATACACATAAGGAAGAAAATATATGGATGTCAACTTCTTTATTATGAGGAACACAACGTTTCGGAGTATGTGCTTACTCCTTCATCAGATTAATGAATGATATGAGGCAGAGAGCATATATATGTACACGTAAGAACAAGAAAAATAATAAGATAACAAAAGGTGGAAACTTGACAAAGGAAGCCAACAGATAATTGGCGCTGATAGGCGATTAGCAATAGACAATGGAAGCCAACACTAATTGGCTAAAGTAAGTAAGTAAGTGAGAGGGAGTGGGAGAGGGGGTGGGGAAGTGTGGGTGGGTTGTTAGTGTCGGCAAAATAGGATATTTCTTTTCTACACTTTATTTTAGCAAGGTGCTGAAATGGTGTGTATATACTTCATAACAAGTGTCAGTTTTGTTTATCATTTTCGGATAATCTCTTCCAATGAAAACGAGCACAAGTGGCGATAATTGGTCCTCGGGGATAACGTTTAAGCAATTATAGTAATAAAATACATCATAGCAGTTCTAAAAACTGCCAGGATAGTCCCAGGCCGTTGTTGTTGATCATTCATATTTAATATTGTGATCGACAACGGAAATTAATTTCCTTTTATAGGACTATCATATTTAGCAAACACTAGCTCACCACCCCCATTTTAGGTACCCCTGTAACATTTTATGTAACTTTTTATGATGGCCCCACCAAATAGATGTTACAATTGTTCATAAACCCCACCCTAATAATAAATTAGCAGTCCCTAAATGATGTTTAAAGTTAAAATTAAAAATAAATGAATAAATAGAACATATAAGGGGATACGAAACCGACGAAAGGATACGAACGAACTACAGGAAGCGAAACTGCCGAGATACGAATATACCGGGATGCACAATGACCTGTTACCAACCACGACACCCAAGCTCCTCACAGCGATATCCAGTTTCTGGAGCTCCCTATACTGTATATACCGAGAGTGTAACGAAGGTGTAACGCGCTGGGAAGGAGCTTGCGCGACACCGGCCCAGTCAAGCTCCTCACACTGACAGCCCGTTCGCGGGGCTCTCAATACTATAGAGTTAGTTCGGACTTGACTGCCGTCGTGTTCGGGCGTCTTTTGCTTCCCAGCAGCTTATCCAGTGTTATAAAACACACTTGATCTTTTATGGTAGTTCCTTTTTGGTTGTTTTATATTTGATTTCCCTTGTGTTGGAGTGCATTCAAACTTTTATTTTTTTTTTGGTGTTTGCTGATTGTTCAAGTCAGTTGTTTGGGGTTGTTCCCGGCAATGGATGGCAACAGAATGGAATATGAGGACGGATTCAAAGTGGTGGCTTCAGGAAGGAAGCGAATCGGTCGTATTCCAGATGAAAAAAAGCCTGTGTTGCCAAGCAACCAAATACTGCCCCTCCTACTGCGTGGCCTGATCTTACTTTTGTATTTAATGAGCCAGTGCGGGTCAAATCAACCATTGTTATCTTTAAAGCCGAAGAAGATGAATCTGATGATGGTTCAACGATCCTCTGTCAACTGATGACCCAGCGCGCATTGGCTAGAGCATTAGCTAAGGTCACTACGGAAATAGTCAGTGTTAAGCGGATGGCCAGGGGAGGTGTTAGTGACACAGTAAAAACTGTTGAGGCTGCTTAAACACTAAAACAAGTCACAGAACTTGATGAGCATTTTGTCAACACTCATAAACCTGAATCATTAATGAGAACCCGTGGAGTTATCTCTGGCCTTGATCTGGATATTGAGATGAGTGAAATTGAGGACGAGTTAAAACCTGCGTTTCCTCTAATTAATGTGCTCTGCTGTGCTTCTGACTCGTGGACCTGATAAAGTTCCCACCAAATCTGTTCTTCTTACATTTACTGGTCAGTCTTTATCAGATCATGTTGTCATTATCTTTCAGAGGTTTCCAATCCGGATGTATGTTTCTCCTGCTCTGCGATGCTTCAAGTGTCAGTCCTTTGGGCATGTCTCTGCCAGGTGTGCGCTAAATGGGGGGGGGGGGGGGGGGGGGGGGGGGGGGGGGGGGGAGCACAACTATGAAGAGTGCAATGAAAGTTCACTTAAATGTAAGAATTGTGTTGGTGCTCACTCTGCGGCATACAAAGGTTGTATTAAATACCAGGAAGCTGTCCTGATTCAGAAAGTCCGAGTTGAGGGACTTATTCTCAGGCGGTTCGAAAGGTGCGTGGAGATTTAGATATTGTTCATGATCAGGTTCGAGAAGTCAATTAACCACCTCCTAGAGGTAAACCACTGTCTCAGGTTGTTCTGATTTGTATCTCCTCCAGTCATGGTGACTGCTAGTACTCAGACTGAAACTCTGGAAGTTGAATGTCAGACTGATCCTGTTATTGCCTGAATCTTCTTGTAAACCTCTATTCAACAATGTCTCTCCTGTTGATTTTCTCAACTTTGTTATTTGTATAGTTGCCAATCTTGGCACTTCTCGTGCATTCAAGTCTGATGGTCTCCAGAAGACAGCATCAGCTCCCCAGTCCCTCTTGGGGTTAAAATTGTCCCCTGATGATCTGACGAGCATGGTAAGGGTCAACAATGGAAGTCTTAATCCATCTTTCTTATGGCTGTCTTGATGCTAGAACAATAAATGCTAATGGTCAAGGATTTAAAGTTTTTATTAACAGTCTTGACCCAATGCCAGATGTTATGTCTTCAGGAGACGTTCTTGCATCCTAAACAGCAATTCCGTTGGGAAGGTTATGTTTGCATACGTAAAGATCGCCAGTTTGGGTTTAGCGGTGGTAGTGCTAAACTCACTCACTGTCATTTAGTAAATAACGTTCCACTATCCCACTTAGAAGGGAATGAAGTCAATACTCATTTGAAGGATAAAAGATCGGTCTCCATTTTTAATGTGTATAATAATGCTCTTGCTACCGAAGATGGCTATATTTCTCTATTGAATACGTCAGACAATCTTAAAGTAGCGTGTAGTGATTTTAAAGCGTGTGGCAGTTTTACTACTCTATGAACTATCTAGGTAATTAGCAAACCTTTATTATGGGCAAGGTGTTAATGGGCCTAGTTGCCCGAACACCTATAAAACTTTAAATAATCAACCAATCAATCTCTATACTATATTTATCGATAGCGTAACAAAGGTGTCACGCGCTGGGGAGGAGTTTGATCGAGCTACAATCCAAGGGAGATAACTTCCCAGCAATTTCGAAACCGGAAATAGCGTTTCTCCATCGTCAACAAATACAACATGTGCAGCATCGTGTGTGTTGGTTGTTGAAGTTGTAGAACACAATGTCGGACGCTAATTTTAGAAGATGTCTGCAGGCTCTGAGGTCGGCTCAGTCGGATAATGAACGGTTTGCCGCATTGATGATGGTATTGAATCTTCCTCGTTCTACTGCGACTGAGAATCCATAACGGGAGTTGATCCAATGATTGAATGAATTCTATCCAGTTGTTCACTCAAGATATACACCCAATTAGGGCAGGGACGGGTAACTCGGGTACTCGAATCGGGTGGGTCCTGGGTAGGACCCGGGTACCCACAGGACTACCTGGACCCGTGGTTGGTCACGTTGTTTATGTAAGAAAAGGTACAGCTTTATGGATAACAACTTCTGGTTTATTACAAATAGCGACGTTCCGATTGAAAATCTTATCAAGCAATAGACTATTTTAATTAGGATCCAACCAGCTTGTCACTACTGTTTAATCCTTTTAATCCTCTATATCCTTATCCTCATACTGTACATCTGGCTTCCTTACCCGTGTGCTATTTGTTATCCTTACTGTACATCTGGCTTCATTACCCGTGTGCTATTTGTTATCCTTACTGTACATCTGGCTTCATCCAATTATCCGTATGTTAATCTGCTGCTTATCACAACATGTCCTGCACATATACCTCTCATCGCTTGATTGTTGTCACTCCAGCTTGATTACGGTGTAAGAATCTACATCAAAACGAGACCTGTGAGGATCTGGGGTAGAATAGGTCTTCAGCAACCCATGCTTGTCATAAAAGGCGACTGACAGGATCGAATGGTCAGGCTCACTGAGTTGGTTGATGCAAGTCATCATATCTCAATTGCGTGGATCGATGCTCATGATATCAATCACTGGATTGTCTGGTCCAGACTCGATTATTTACAGACCGTTGTCATATAGCTGGAATATTGCTGAGTGTGGCGTCAAAGAACAAATAAACAATCAAATAAAACATTGAAATGTCGCTATATGCAATAAACCAGAAGTTGTTATCCTCAAAGTTGTACGTTTTCTAACTTACTTCACCAACTTCTAGAATGGCAATCAAACAGTTAAACAGTTGACACTATTAACAATAAAACTAAACATGCTAAATGCATGGTTACACTATAAATCGCTCATCATGTTCATCATGATCATACTGCTTTCTGACTATGCATGCATCCCTTCTGATTTTTATATATTTGAGTAAAGATGAAGCGGGTACCCACGTAGGGCCGGGTAATAGAAGGTCGGTACCCAGGTAGTTCATTTAGACTCGTCCAAGGCCTACATCCAATCACTATTAATTACAATACATACACTTTACTTTTATTTGCAACAATGCAGTTTACCAAGTGCTGTTTACATATATATATTGGCTCAGGCTGCCGATATCGCTTCACTCTCACAGATCTCGCCAACCTCTTTGATCCTTAGGGTTACCCCTAACTCTATCCTTAGCTATGGGATCACCCAATCTCATTAAGATCAGATCTAAGTTAATCGCTGCCGCTGAACAAAAAGCTGAGGACATCCCATTTCGGGTCACGTCGGAATGACCTTTCGCGAACTTTGACCGACCACTGATATGACTTACATGAAGTCGACATCAGTGAATTAGAAAGCAGCTTTCTTGAGCCTTACGGCAATCGTTTCAACCTGGCGACTTCCATTTCAGATTTGCTTGAAAAATATGTTGGCACAGTTCTCAATTAAAATTTTGAAAACTGAACAAACGAACATTCCGGAATGTCTAATATATGGTTGAGATTGTATGGCAGTGCCTCCTCCGTTCACATTTTTTTCCCATGGAAGCGAGATAGATGATAATTTTGACGGAATCAGCCGTATGGGCTGTAACTGTCGTTCGGAATACCCCGTGTTAACATTTTCGAGGTTGCATGATTAGAAAACTCATTCCGACTGTCACTTTTATGATCTCGTAAGCGACGCTTTGATTGGTTGGATGACAGGTCGTTCTGACGTGACCCGTAATGGGATGTCCTCATTATCTTTGTTTAGCGATACCGAGAACTAAGATCTGATCTTAATGAGATTGTTGGATCACCTTTCCGATCAAACACCCCTTTGCGATGGGAACAGGTAAAAAAAGGGCCACATGTCAAAAGGCCAGACAAGAACTATAAATATAAAGCATAAGTAGTAGTAGTTTCTAATTTTTGTTTTGGTCTTTCATTAATTCCAAGTATTTACAATAAACTTTGGTCAATAGTGAAACCTGTGTGTGTTGTCTCGTTGTGACATTAAGTGTTTAAGACGTCACCTTCTGCCTAAGCAATTTTGGCTGACTTGTCCCTCAAGGTAGACACAATTTTATGGATAACAACTCCTTTAATACAGTAAAAAGCAACATTTCGGTATAGATCTTTATACCATTGTCAAGCAAGACTGAATGAGGGTCGTTGTTGTTGCATTAAGTGTTCAAGAGGTCGCCTTCTGCCTAAGCAATTTCGGCTGACCTGTCCCTCTTTGGGACTCCTGTGTGTGAGTAGGGTACGCATATGTGAGTCTGGTATTCACATAATTTCTATTTTTGTATTGATATGATTTCTATTTTCGTATATAGATATAATTTCATGTTTATCTTTGGCTGCTCTGTTTATATACATTCGAGTAGCTGTCCATCTCTCAGAAATAGAGTTAGTTTGGCCTTCGCTATTGCATCTCTTGGCTTAAGGAGATCCGACAGATAGCAGATCTAACTTCAATTCTTGTTTTAACCTAGCCCGGGCTGGGGCATCGTCTTGACATGCCAGTAACAAGTGAGCAATGGATTCAGGTTGATTGCAAGATGGACAAACATTGTCATAGTGCTTTTTGTGACTGAGTCTGAGGCGTGAGATAGCAATTTCAACTTTCCTATCATATAAGTATGAGTTTGGCTTTTGTTGGATCTTGGGTTGAATTTTGTATAGCCATCTGCTGATCTTACTTGCATCCCACTGGGCTTGCCATCTTTGGGCTATAGAGGCTTAGATTTTGCTTTTTATCCCTAGTTTACTGAAGGGAATAGGCTGTATCTCCGCTTTGTCTGGAGCTAGTTTCGCCAGTGTGTCTGCTGTTTCATTTCCATTGATATCTATGTGAGAGGGGATCCAACACAGCTCCACCTGTTGCCCTTGGTCCGATAGTTTTGTATATTTGTATAGAATATTATTGACTGTGTTTGGCCTGGAGTTTGAGTTTCTGCCGCTGATGGCTTGAAATGCACTTAGCGAGTCTGATAGGACGACTGCCTTTGCTTCTGGAAGTTCAGGTATGAGTTTGTGTGCATGATGAATTGCCTCCAATTCAGCCATGAATACTGACTGACCATCAGGCAAGCGAACTGAATGTGCTTGGGGTTTGGAGCTGTGGATACGGATCCTGTAACCATGGTAACCAGCACTGTTGTTGATAGGATTCTTGGATCCATCAGTGTTTATATGGGCCCAGCTGTCCCAGGTAGTTTGGATTTTAGTGATAGCTACTGATCGTAGGTGGGTTGGGTTTCCCTTTTTAGTGACTTCTGACATTAAAGTGTCAACTTTGGGAGTTTTTAAAGTCCAGGGAGGGTGTAACCCTTTGGAATGACTTTCTGGTGGCTGAATGTCATCACGATTGTGATGTCTCACTGAGCATGTGTACTAAATAATCGAGTCTGGACCAGATAATCAATCCAGTGATTGACATTATGAGCATCGATCCACGCAATTGGGATACAATGACATGCATCAACCAAGTGAGTGTACCTGACCATCCGATCCCTTAAGTCGCCTCTTACGACAAGAATAGTCGCCTTTTACGGCAAGCATGGGTTGCTTCTGCCCTGGATCTTCACAGGTCGACAAACTACAATGAACTCAGACAAATGAAACAGAACTCTGATCAAAAGAAGATATGCTTTGTGGTGCTGATGCAAGCCTACTGTTAAAGATAGTTGTTTGTTTTGATATGAATAAGTACAGAAGACACACAAAATGTATACTTTATATTTATAACATCACCACTTTTGGTTGGTATCCCTTTTAACTTTTTGTGTGGACATTTTGGCGAATGTGTTCATGGTCTTTTGAAGAATGTGTTCATGGTCTTTTGACGAAATGTGTTCATGGTCTTTTGACGAATGTGTTCATGGTCTTTTGACGAATGTGTTCATGGTCTTTAGACGAATGTGTTCATGGTCTTTTGACGAATGTGCTCATGGTCTTTTGACATATGTGCTCATGGTCTTTTGACGAATGTGCTCATGGTCTTTTGACGAATGTGTTCATGGTCTTTTGACGAATGTGTTCATGGTCTTTTGACGAATGTGTTCATGGTCTTTTGACGAATGTGCTCATGGTCTTTTGACGAATGTGTTCATGGTCTTTTGACGAATGTGCTCATGGTCTTTTGACAAAAGTGCTCATGGTCTTTTGACGTGTGGTCTTTTTGACTGCAACCCTTCACGATTCTTAGGGTTGGGCACCACTTGCCAATGAAACACCACTTTATCATCTCTAGGTTTAAGCACCCCTTTGCAATCCTAAGGGTTGGTTCTTAATTATGGTATGGGTTAAGAAATGGCTTCTGTGCATGCGCAATAAGGTAAACGATTGGGTGCTGATTACTTGGTAAATGAGCACTATCTATTTGTGATTTATTAGCTTCAAGCTTGCAAAGTGAGTTAGATCCTTCGTCAACACAGGTGTAATGATATATTTGCTATCACAGTTGATGTGTTTTGCCAGGTGACCAGGGCTGTGAAGGAGGAGGACTGTGATGAGGACATGAAGAGAGAGATGCTGGATGCCCTGGGGTTCCGCTTCCTCACACGGCTCATGAAGACAGGTGACTCCAAACTCCCTCATCTCACTTTCTGCCTACCTCCACATCCTGCGGACCCCCATGTCCTGCCTACCTCGAAGTCCTGCCTACCTCCATGTCCTCCATGTCCTGCCTACCTCGAAGTCCTGCCTACCTCCATGTCCTCCATGTCCTGCCTACCTCCATGTCTTGTCTACCTCCATGTCCTCCATGTCCTGCCTACCTCGAAGTCCTGCCTACCTCCATGTCCTCCATGTCCTGCCTACCTCCATGTCTTGTCTACCTCCATGTCCTCCATGTCCTGCCTACCTCCATGTCCTCCATGTCCTGCCTACCTCCATGTCTTGTCTACCTCCATGTCCTCCATGTCCTGCCTACCTCCATGTCCTCCATGTCCTGCCTACCTCGAAGTCCTGCCTACCTCCATGTCCTCTATGTCCTGCCTACCTCCACATCCTGCCTACCTCCACGTCCGACCTACCTCCATGTCCTCGATGTCCTGCCTACCTCCACATCCTGCCTACCTCCATGTCCTGCCTACCTCCATGTCCTCCATGTCCTGCCTACCTCCATGTCTTGTCTACCTCCATGTCCTCCATGTCCTGTCTACCTCCATGTCCTTCATGTCCTGCCTACCTCCACATCCTGCCTACCTCCATGTCTTGCCTACCTCCATGTCTTGCCTACCACCATGTCCTCGATGTCCTGCCTACCTCCACATCCTGCCTACCTCCATGTCCTCGATGTCCTGCCTACCTCCACATCCTGCCTACCTCCATGTCCTGCCTACCTCCATGTCCTCCATGTCCTGCCTACCTCCATGTCCTCCATGTCCTGCCTACCTCCATGTCCTGCCTACCTCCATGTCCTCCATGTCCTGCCTACCTCCATGTCTTGTCTACCTCCATGTCCTCCATGTCCTGTCTACCTCCATGTCCTTCATGTCCTGCCTACCTCCACGTCCGGCCTACCTCCATGTCCTGCCTACCTCCATGTCCTCCATGTCCTTTCTACCTCCATGTCCTTCATGTCCTGCCTACCTCCACATCCGACCTACCTCCATGTCCTGCCTACCTCCATGTCTTGTCTACCTCCATGTCCTCCATGTCCTGTCTACCTCCACGTCCTCCATGTCCTGTCTACCTCCACGTCCGGCCTACCTCCATGTCCTGCCTACCTCCACGTCCTCCATGTCCTGTCTACCTCCATGTCCTGCCTACACTCATGTCCTCCATGTCCTACCTACCTCCACATCCTACGGACCCCCATGTCCTGCCTACCTCGAAGTCCTGCCTTCCTCCATGTCCTCCATGTCCTCCATGTCCTGCCTACCTCCACATCCTGCCAACCTCCACATCCGGCCTACCTCCATGTCTTGCCTACCTCCATGTCCTCCATGTCCTCCATGTCCTGCCTACCTCCACATCCTGCCTACCTCCATGTCCTGCCTACCTCCACGTCCTGCCTACCTCCACATCCTGCCTTCCTCCACGTCCGGCCTACCTCCATATCTTGCCTACCTCCATGTCCTCCATGTCCTCCATGTCCTGCCTACCTCCACATCCTGCCTACCTCCATGTCCTGCCTACCTCCATGTCCTCCATGTCCTGCCTACCTCCATGTCTTGTCTACCTCCATGTCCTCCATGTCCTATCTACCTCCACGTCCCCCATGTCCTGCCTACCTCCACGTCCTGCCTACCTCCACATCCTGCCTTCCTCCACGTCCGGCCTACCTCCATATCTTGCCTACCTCCATGTCCTCCATGTCCTCCATGTCCTGCCTACCTCCACATCCTGCCTACCTCGAAGTCCTGCCTACCTCCATGTCCTCCATGTCCTGCCTACCTCCACATCCTGCCAACCTCCACGTCCAGCCTACTTCCATGTCTTGCCTACCTCCATGTCCTCCATGTCCTCCATGTCCTGCCTACCTCCACATCCTGCCTACCTCCATGTCCTGCCTACCTCCATGTCCTCCATGTCCTGTCTACCTCCATGTCCTCCATGTCCTCAATGTCCTGCCTACCTCCACATCCTGCCTACCTCCATGTCCTCCATGTCTTGCCTACCTCCATGTCCTCCATGTCCTGCCTACCTCCACATCCTGCCTACCTCCATGTCCTGCCTACCTCCATGTCCTCCATGTCCTGTCTACCTCCATGTCCTCCATGTCCTCCATGTCCTGCCTACCTCCACATCCTGCCTACCTCCATGTCCTCCATGTCTTGCCTACCTCCATGTCCTCCATGTCCTGCCTACCTCCATGTCCTCCATGTCTTGCCTACCTCCATGTCCTCCATGTCCTCCATGTCCTGCCTACCTCCACATCCTGCCTACCTCCATGTCTTGTCTACCTCCATGTCCTCCATGTCCTGTCTACCTCCATGTCCTAAAAGTCCTGCCTACCTCCACATCCTGCCTACCTCCATGCCCTGTCTACCTCCATGTCCTGCCTACCTCCATGCCCTGTCTACCTCCATGTCCTGTCTACCTCCATGTCCTGCCTACCTCCACGTCCTGCCTACCTCCATGTCCTGCTTACCTCCTTTCTTGCCTACCTCCATGTCCTCCATGTCCTGCTTACCTCCATGTCCTGCCTACCTCCATGCCCTGTCTACCTCCATGCCCTGTCTACCTCCATGTCCTGCCTACCTCCACCTCCTGCCTACCTCCACATCCTGCCTACCTCCATGTCCTGCCTACCTCCACGTCCTGCCTACCTCCACATCCTGCCTACCTCCATGCCCTGTCTACCTCCATGTCCTGCCTACCTCCATGCCCTGTCTACCTCCATGTCCTGTCTACCTCCATGTCCTGCCTACCTCCACGTCCTGCCTACCTCCATGTCCTGCTTACCTCCTTTCTTGCCTACCTCCATGTCCTCCATGTCCTGCTTACCTCCATGTCCTGCCTACCTCCATGCCCTGTCTACCTCCATGCCCTGTCTACCTCCATGTCCTGCCTACCTCCACCTCCTGCCTACCTCCACATCCTGCCTACCTCCATGTCCTGCCTACCTCCACGTCCTGCCTACCTCCACATCCTGCCTTCCTCCACGTCCGGCCTACCTCCATATCTTGCCTACCTCCATGTCCTCCATGTCCTGCCTACCTCCACATCCTGCCTACCTCCATGTCCTCCATGTCCTGCCTACCTCCACATCCTGCCTACCTCCATGTCTTGTCTACCTCCATGTCCTCCATGTCCTATCTACCTCCATGTCCTCAATGTCCTGCCTACCTCCATGCCCTGCCTACCTCCACATCCTGCCTACCACCATGCCCTGTCTACCTCCATGTCCTGCCTACCTCCATGTCCTCCATGTCTTGCCTACCTCGAAGTCCTGCCTACCTCCACGCCCTCCACGTCCTGCCTGCCTCCACGCCCTGTCTACCTCCATGTCCTGCCTACCTCCACGTCCTGCCTACCTCCACATCCTGCCTACCTCCACGTCCGGCCTACCTCCATGTCCTGCCTACCTCCATGTCCTCCATGTCCTGCCTACCTCCATGCCCTGTCTACCTCCATGCCCTGTCTACCTCCATGTCCTGCCTACCTCCACGTCCTGCCTACCTCCACATCCTGCCTACCTCCACGTCCGGCCTACCTCCATGTCCTGCCTACCTCCATGTCCTCCATGTCCTGCCTACCTCCACGTCCTGCCTACCTCCATGCCCTGTCTACCTCCATGTCCTGCCTACCTCCATGTCCTGCCTACCTCCATGTCCTGCCTACCTCCATGTCCTGCCTACCTCCACGACCTCCATGTCCTGTCTAACTCCACATCCTGCCTACCTCGACATCCTGCCTACCTCCATGTCCTGACGACCTCCACGACCTCCATGTCCTGTCTACCTCCACATCCTGCCTACCTCCACGTCCGGCCTACCTCCATGTCCTGCCTACCTCCATGTCCTCCATGTCCTATCTACCTCCATGTCCTGCCTACCTCCATGTCCTGCCTACCTCCACGACCTCCATGTCCTGTCTAACTCCACATCCTGCCTACCTCGACATCCTGCCTACCTCCATGTCCTGCCTACCTCCACGTCCTGCCTACCTCCACGTCCTGCCTACCTCCATGCCCTGTCTACCTCCATGCCCTGTCTACCTCCACATCCTGCCTACCTCCACATCCTGCCTACCTCCACATCCTGCCTACCTCCACGTCCTGCCTACCTCCATGCCCTGTCTACCTCCACATCCTGCCTACCTCCACATCCTGCCTACCTCCAGGTCCTCCACATCCTGCCTACCTCCACGTCCTGCCAACCCCCATGTCCTGCCTACCTCCACATCCTGCCTACCTCCACATCTCCACATCCTGCCTACCTCAAACATCCCACCTGGTTAAACACTCACCACAGGAGCAAACCTCAAACATCCCACATGGTTAAACATTGTGTTGAATGTGTGCTGTAACCATTGTAACTATTGTGTTTCAGCCAGTGTTCCTGAAGGATGTCCTTCCACCATCTTCAAGTCCATCGCTCTCAGCATCCTGGCCAGCTTTGCCCAGGACACACAAGTGGTCAGTAGACTTACTAGAAAACTAATGTGGATTGTAGGCTGATGGCGTGGTCAGTAGAATGTTGATGGTGTGGACAGTAGAATATTGATGGTATGTCATCATGCCCTGATGGTGTGTGACCTGGCTGATTGTGGGTCATCATGCCCTGATGGTGTGTGACCTGGCTGATTGTGAGTCTTCATGTCCTGATGGTGTGTGACCTGACTGATTATGTGTCATGGCCAGATGGTGTGTGACCTGGCTGATTGTGTGTCATGACCTAATGTTGTGTGACCTGGCTGATTGTGTGTCATGACCTGATGGTGTGTGACCTGCCTTATGTGTGTCATGACCTGATGGTGTGTGACCTGGCTGAATGTGTGTCATGACCTGATGGTGTGTGACCTGACTGAATGTGTGTCATGACCTGATGGTGTGTGACCTGGCTGATTGTGTGTCATGACCTGATGGTGTGTGACCTGGCTGAATGTGTGTCATGACCTGATGGTGTGTGACCTGGCTGAATGTGTTTCATGCCATGATGGTGTGTGACCTGGCTGAATGTGTGTCATGCCCTGATGGTGTGTGACCTGGCTGAATGTGTGTCATAACCTGATGGTTTGTGACCTGGCTGATTGTGTGTCATGCCATGATGGTGTGTGACCTGGCTGAATGTGTGTCATGCCCTGATGGTGTGTGACCTGACTGAATGTGTGTCAGGACCTAATGGTGTGTGACCTGGCTGAATATGTGTCAGGACCTGATGGTGTGTGACCTGACTGATAAAGGTTGTATAGCCCTGATTAGGTCAGTAATATTCAGGGATGTGAAATCTCCGCGGAAACGCGGAAAATCGCGTTTTTTAAAACAGTAGTCCTCGGAAAAAATCATCTTCCGCGTAAAAATTTAATAATATTTTTTTAAAAAAACACTCCGAAAAATATGATCGAAAACCGGACAATTGGCGCGGATTATCCTGTTTTCGATCAGAGCTTTCACCAGCATAGGTTTTCGGACATCATACGTTTTCTGTCACGAATACTTGCACTATAACGTGGGGTGTGGCGTCACACATAAATTGTAAATACTCTGAGTCAGCTGATGGCTTGTTTTTAAGATAAAGTTGTCTTTAGCCTGTAAGTGAATGAGATGTTTTACAGTTGTTCATGTGATAAGCGAGAAAACTATGAATGTTTCTTCAGCGTCCAAAACCCCATGTCATGGGGATATATGTTGTATTAATGTCTTATGTTTGCAATGGAGTTTTGTTTTTTTCATCAAAAGGTAAGTACAAGGTAAGTCTTTTTCAATATGTTTCAACATGGGGAAAGGGTCAGACATTGCACGCTTGTGACAGTTGTCCTTGTGTCTGGGGGATGGGGGTTGAAGTTTATGGCAGTAATGCTCCCAGACCTGGCGGGTAGCCAGGTGCGCGAAAGCTATGCCCGATTTTTTAAAAGTACTGATTTAACTTCGAAATTTTACTGCATCTGCCATCTTGTTTATTTGACTTATTGACTTTTGCCATTGACTTATTACATTTCTTGGTGTGAATGTTGTCCAAACTGCACGAAATTGCTTAAAATGCAATCAAATGTTTTAAAAATTTCCTGGGGGGGCATGCCCCCAGACCCCCCTAGACATTTCCTCTTTTTTCGGGAAAACCTGCTCACATCCCTGATTATTGATGCTGCAGCATAAAAGAACATACACACAACTGAGGATGTCTGAGTGTATGGAAATATGATGATCACTGTGTAACATGATCATAACCTGTGGGTTTCAGCTGTCCAACAAAGAGATGAAAAAACAAGTGTCAGTGTTGAATGAGATCATCCTCTGCAATATCAGGTAAGCCACTGTGGTATTGGTGTAGAGGAATTAGGGAGAGTACTGGTGTAGAGGGATTAGGAAGAGTACTGGTGTAGAGGGATTAGGGAGAGTACTGGTGTAGAGGAATTAGGAAGAGTACTGGTGTAGAGGGATTAGGGAGAGTACTGGTGTAGAGGAATTAGGGAGAGTACTGGTGTAGAGGGATTTGGGAGAGTACTGGTGTAGAGGAATTAGGGAGAGTACTGGTGTAGAGGGATTAGGAAGAGTACTGGTGTAGAGGGATTAGGAATAGTACTGGTGTAGAGGTGAGATTAGAGAGAGTACTGGTGTAGAGGTGAGATTAGTGAGAGTACTGTGTAGAGGGATTAGTGAGGGTACTGGTGTAGAGGTGAGATTAGTGAGAGTACTGGTGGAGAGTTGAGATTAGTGAGAGTACTGGTGTAGAGAGATTAGTGGGAGTACTGGTGTAGAGGTGAGATTAGTGAGAGTACTGGTGGAGAGTTGAGATTAGTGAGAGTACTGGTGTAGAGGTTAGATTAGTGAGAGTACTGGTGTAGAGGTTAGATTAGTGAGAGTACTGTCGCAAGGGATTAGTGAGGGTACTGGTGTAGAGGTGAGATTAGTGAGAGTACTGGTGTAGAGGTGAGATTAGTGAGAGTACTGGTGTAGAGGTGAGATTAGTGAGAGTACTGTGTAGAGGGATTAGGAATAGTACTGGTGTAGAGGTGAGATTAGTGAGGGTACTGGTGTAGAGGTGAGATTAGTGAGAGTACTGGTGGAGAGTTGAGATTAGTGAGAGTACTGGTGTAGAGAGATTAGTGGGAGTACTGGTGTAGAGGTGAGATTAGTGAGAGTACTGGTGGAGAGTTGAGATTAGTGAGAGTACTGGTGTAGAGGTTAGATTAGTGAGAGTACTGGTGTAGAGGTTAGATTAGTGAGAGTACTGTCGCAAGGGATTAGTGAGGGTACTGGTGTAGAGGTGAGATTAGTGAGAGTACTGGTGTAGAGGTGAGATTAGTGAGAGTACTGGTGTAGAGGTGAGATTAGTGAGGGTACTGGTGTAGAGGTGAGATTAGTGAGGGTACTGGTGTAGAGGTGAGACTAGAGAGAGTACTGGTGTAGAGGTGAGACTAGAGAGAGTACTGGTGTAGAGGTGAGATTAGTGAGGGTACTGGTGTAGAGGTTAGATTAGTGAGAGTACTGTCGCAAGGGATTAGTGAGGGTACTGGTGTAGAGGGATTAGTGAGAGTACTGGTGTAGAGAGATAAGTGAGAGTACTGGTGTAGGGAGATTAGTGAGAGTACTGGTGTAGAGAGATTAGTGAGAGTACTGGTGTAGAGGTTAGATTAGTGAGAGTACTGTTGCAAGGGATTAGTGAGGGTACTGGTGTAGAGGTTAGATTAGTGAGAGTACTGTCGCAAGGGATTAGTTAGGGTACTGGTGTATAGGTGAGATTAGTGAGGGTACTGGTGTAGAGGTGAGACTAGAGAGAGTACTGGTGTAGAGGTGAGATTAGTGAGAGTACTGGTGTAGAGGTTAGATTAGTGAGGGTATTGGTGTAGAGGTGAGATTAGTGAGGGTACTGGTGTAGAGGTGAGATTAGTGAGAGTACTGGTGTAGAGGTGAGATTAGTGAGAGTACTGGTGTAGAGGTGGGATTAGTGAGAGTACTGGTGTAGAGGTGAGATTAATGAGAGTACTGGTGTAGAGGTGAGATTAGTGAGAGTACTGGTGTAGAGAGATTAGTGGGAGTACTGGTGTAGAGAGATTAGTAGGAGTACTGGTGGAGAGTTGAGATTAGTGAGAGTACTGGTGTAGAGGTGAGATTAGTGAGAGTATAGGTGTAGAGAGATTAGTGAGGGTACTGGTGTAGAGGTGAGATTAGTGAGAGTACTGGTGTAGAGGTGAGATTAGTGAGAGTATGGGTGTAGAGAGATTAGTGACAGTACTGGTGTAGAGGTGAGATTAGTGAGAGTACTGGTGTAGAGGTGAGATTAGTGAGAGTACTGGTGTAGAGGGATTTGGGAGAGTACTGGTGTAGAGGGATTAGGAAGAGTACTGGTGCAGAGGGATTAGGGAGAGTATTGGTGTATTGTGTGTCGTGGTGTTCCATGTCTCTCATTGTGTGCCGTGGTGTTCCATGTCTCTCACTCTGTGCCATGGTGTTCCATGGCTCTCACTCTGTGCCATGGTGTTCCATGTCTCTCATTGTTTGGAGTGGTGTTCCATGTCTCTCATTGTTTGGAGTGGTGTTCCATGTCTCTCATTGTTTGGAGTGGTGTTCCATGTCTCTCATTGTTTGGAGTGGTGTTCCATGTCTCTCACTCTGTGCCATGGTGTTCCATGGCTCTCACTCTGTGCCATGGTGTTCCATGTCTCTCATTGTTTGGAGTGGTGTTCCATGTCTCTCATTGTTTGGAGTGGTGTTCCATGTCTCTCATTGTTTGGAGTGGTGTTCCATGTCTCTCATTGTTTGGAGTGGTGTTCCATGTCTCTCATTGTTTGCCGTTGTCTTCTATGTCTCTCATTGTGTTCCATGTTTCTCACTGTGTGCCGTGCTGGTCCATGTCTCTCATGGCCTATGTCTCTCATTGTGTTCCATGTCTCTCATTGGGTGTCGTGCTGGTCCATGTCTCTCATGGTCTATGTCTCTCATTGTGTTCCATGTCTCTCATTGTTTGCCGTGGTGTCCCTTGTCTCTCATTGTGTGCTGTGGTGTTCCATGTCTCTCATTGTTTGCTGTGCTGCTGCAGTGGAGACGACACTGACATGGAGGCCAGCCTGCTGTCTGACTGCTATGACTGTCTGCAGGGCATGATACTCTCTCCGGTTAGCAGACAGTATCTCATACAGGGTGGGTCTGTGTCAGCCCTGGTGGAAGTCATCGTCTCCCAACAAACAGGTACACCACTATTATATTAAGTCCTTCTGTTGGATGTACAAGTCTGTTAAACGTAGGATGCAAAATTGGTCACAGTCCTAATTTTTTAAAGAAATATTCATAAATTTTATTTCTTTATTGGAAATATCTTTACTACTTTGTGGTTGAATTTTGGCTGTGTGAACGAAGAACATATATGTATTGTGACTGATATCAATATGTACTTCTGCCTGACACTGAAGTTTATTGGTTCCTTTGTCCAGGGAGTCATATCTTAGTTTGCAACTGGACAACAGTGTGTCTTATGTAGAGATGTATAAGGGGTCTAGGTAGGTCATGTCAATGTCATGATGGATATACCATGATTGGCTATCAAGGGGCGGGATCGATACACGTGTTTCCCCCCATCACCACAAAGGAAATGTGACTCTGTGCTGCAGGACATGACAAGGCCAGGGACTTGGTGGTGGAGCTGCTGAGGTGGGAGAGGGCAGGGGTGTGGGCGGGGCGCCCAGGGGATGCACAGAAGTTGCTGCAGTGTCTGGTATCCAGATTCAAGGAAAAGCAGGTACACAAAGTTCCACAAGCACCACACAGATCCCCACATCTCCTCCAAACATCTCCTCCACACATCTCCAAACATCTCCTCCACACAGCTCCACACAGCTCCACACAGCTCCTCCACACATCTCCACACATCTCCTGCACACATCTCCTCCACACAGCTCCACACATCTATTCCACACATCTCCTCCACACAGCTCCTCCACAAAGCTCCACACAGCTCCACACATCTCCTCCACACATCTCCTCCACACAGCTCCTCCACACAGCTCCACACATCTCCTGCACACATCTCCAAACATCTCCTCCACACAGATCAAACCATCACCACACAGATCCACACATCTCCTCCACACAGATCCAACCATCTCCACTCAGATCAACACATCTCCTCCACACACATTCACAAATCTCCACCACACACATCCACACATCTCCTCCACACAGATCCACACATCTCCTCCACACAGATCCACACATCTCCTCCACACAGATCCACACATCTCCTCTACACAACTCCGCCACACACATCCACACAGTTCCACACATCTCCTCCACACAGATCCACACATCTCCTCCACACAGATCCACACATCTCCTCTACACAACTCCGCCACACACATCCACACAGATCCACCCATCTCCACCACACACATCCACACATCTCCACACATCTCCTCCACACAACTCCTCCACACATCTCCTCCACAGAGTCCACACAGATCCTAAGATCTCCTCGCAACTGATTAAATGTCATTCTCTGCTTCAGGATGCAACCAAGTTTGAAATTGGTGAAGTTCTGACATTTGTACTATCCACAGTAGAGAAGGTAAGAATAGGTTCAGTATATCACTGTTCATGGGATCTGTATATCACTGTTCATGTGTTCAATATATCACTGTCCATGTGTTCAGTATATCACTGTCCATGTGTTCAGTACATCACTGTCCATGTCTTCAGTACATCACTGTCCATGTCTTCAGTACATCACTGTCCATGTCTTCAGTACATCACTGTCCATGTCTTCAGTACATCACTGTCCATGTCTTCAGTACATCACTGTCCATGTGTTCAGTATATCACTGTCCATGTGTTCAGTACATCATTGTCCATGTGTTCAGTATATCACTGTCCATGTGCTCAGTACATCACTGTCCATGTGTTCAATACATCACTGTACATGTGTTCAGTATATCACTGTCCATGTGTTCAGTATATCACTGTCCATTTGTTCAGTACATCACTGTCCATGTGTTCAGTACATCACTGTCCATGTGTTCAGTACATCACTGTCCATGTGTTCAGTACATCACTGTCCATGTGTTCAGTATATCACTGTCCATGTGCTCAGTATATCACTGTCCATGTGTTCAGTATATCGATGTTCATGGGGTCAGTATATCACTGTAGAAATGGGTCGAGTATATCACGCTGCACGCGGGGGCTTTGGTGCCCCATTTGTCTAAGGCGCCGCGATTTCTTGTGCAGAGTTACCTCCCAGAAACCTATGATTGTGGCTTCGAATCCTGGTTTGCTCCGATTATGATTCTAGGTTTGTCAGCACAATGCCCTTGCTCGTGGGTTTCACCTAAGTGGTAAACATCTGAGACCTGCATCAACTCGGGCTTTCCTCCCACATTAAGCTGACACGCTGTGATATAACTGGAATACTGTTAAAAGCGGCGTTAAACCAAACTCAGTCTCACGCTGCATGCTTTGTCTGTCAGCAGCAATATTGTTAATGTGCCGTTGAAAATACTTTTAACTCTTGATTTTACAGGAGGAAGACGAATGCAAGTCACCATGGTTACAGGATCTGGTGCTGGAGGTCTACAGTATCATCAGAAGTAAACTCGGTATGCAGTCACCTACACATCTCACTCATGTCTCACGTCTCACGTCTCACACATGTCAAATGTCTCATTTATCTCACTCATATCTTGTCTCAATCAAGTCTCATGTCTCATCTCACACATTTCATTCATTTCACATCTCACTCATCTGTAGCGTCTCACCCATCCGCATCATCTCTCACATCTCATTTCTCAATCATCTCGCACGTCTCACACGTGTCACTCATCACACACATCTCACATGTCTTACTCATCTCACACGTCACATTCATAGCACATTTGTCACCCATCTCAGACATCTCACTCATCGCACACTTCTCACACACCTCACTCATCGCACACACCTCACTCATCTCACACGCCTCACACGTCTCACCCATCTCTCTCATCTCACACGTGTCACACGCCTCACACGTGTCACACGCCTCACTCATCTCACAAGTGTCACACGCCTCACTCATCGCACACTTCTCACACGTCTCACTCATCTCACACATCTCACAAGTCCTACATATTACTCATCTCACACGTCTGATTCATCTCACACGTGTCACCCATATCACAAGTCCTACATATCACTCAACCTACACGTCTCACACCTGTCACCCATCTCATACGTCACCCATTTTATATGTGTTACCCATCTCACAAGTCCTACATATCACTCAACTCACATATCTCACTCATCTCACAGACCGCCTCTGTGGCCTAGTGGTAAAGCGACCGCCCGGAGAGCTGAAGGTCCAGGGTTCGTTCCCCAGCTGCATCATACCAAAAGACGTTTAAAGATGGTACTTGTTGTTACCCTGTCTGCCGCTCGGCATTAAGGGGATAAAACAAGGACTGGTTGGCTCGGAGTCAATATTCTGCATCTGAGTGGGGTATTCATGTTAAACTGTGGCATGGTATCTCAGTGGGCTAGCACTATAAATCGGCATCAGCCCGGACTAGTACAAGCAGCCACACACATACACACACGTGCATGCACGTCGCTATATAAGTGCAATGATCTTGGACACGACATTAAACACCAATTCTCCTCACCTCACCTCACTTATCTCACATGTCTCACTTATCTCACATGTCTCACTCATCTCACACGCCTCACTCATCTCACACGCCTCACTCATCTCACACGTCTCACTCATCTCACACGTCTCACTCATCTCACACGTCTCACTCATCTCACATGTCTCACTCATCTCACATGTCTCACTTATCTCACATGTCTCACTCATCTCACACGTCTCAACTCATCTCACATGTCTCACTCATCTCACACGTCTCAACTCATCTCACATGTCTCACTCATCTCACACGTCTCACTCATCTCACATGTCTCACTTATCTCACATGTCTCACTCATCTCACACGTCTCAACTCATCTCACATGTCTCACTCATCTCACATGTCTCACATGTCTCACTCATCTCACACGTCTCAACTCATCTCACATGTCTCACTCATCTCACATGTCTCACTCATCTCACACGTCTCACTCATCTCACACGTCTCACTCATCTCACATGTCTCACTTATCTCACATGTCTCACTCATCTCACACGTCTCAACTCATCTCACATGTCTCACTCATCTCACACGTCTCACTCATCTCACATGTCTCACTCATCTCACATGTCTCACTCATCTCACATGTCTCACTCATCTCACACGTCTCACTCATCTCACACGTCTCACTCATCTCACACGTCTCAACTCATCTCACATGTCTCACTCATCTCACACGTCTCACTCATCTCACACGTCTCAACTCATCTCACATGTCTCACTCATCTCACATGTCTCACATGTCTCACTCATCTCACACGTCTCAACTCATCTCACATGTCTCACTCATCTCACATGTCTCACTTATCTCACATGTCTCACTCATCTCACACGTCTCAACTCATCTCACATGTCTCACTCATCTCACATGTCTCACTCATCTCACATGTCTCAACTCATCTCACATGTCTCACTCATCTCACGTCTCACTCATCTCACATGTCTCACTCATCTCACATTTCAGACAGTAGACTGAGGGACTCCACGCTGTGTCTGGCTGCCTCCCTGGTCAGCTGTCAGGGCATTGCCTGTCTCCTGCCTCCTGTCACTGACGACCTCAAGATGCTTCTGTTGCTCACTCACATGGCCTGCATAGAGGTCAGGATGGTGCTTGAGGATGGTCGAATTGAACAGGTAGGTTACCCATGGAGGTCAGGATGGTGCTTGAGGATGGTCGAATTGAACAGGTAGGTTGCCCATGGAGGTCAGGATGGTGCTTTAGGATGGGCAAATTGAACAGGTAGGTTACCCATGGAGGTCAGTATGGTGCTTGAGGATGGAACAATTGAACAGGTAGGTTACCCAAGGAGGTCAGGATGGTGCTTGAGGATGGACGATTTGAACAGGTAGGTTACTCATGGAGGTCAGGATGGTGCTTGAGGATGGGGGAATTGAACAGGTAGGTTACCCAAGGAGGTCAGGATGGTGCTTTAGGATGGGCGAATTGAACAGGTAGGTTACCCAAGGAGGTCAGGATGGTGCTTGAGGATGGACGAATTGAACAGGTAGGTTACTCATTGAGGTCAGGATGGTGCTTGAGGATGGACGAATTGAACAGGTAGGTTACCCAAGGAGGTCAGGATGGTGCTTTAGGATGGGCAAATTGAACAGGTAGGACACCCATGGGGGCCAGGATGGTGCTTTAGGATGGGCGAATTGAAGATGTAGGCTGCCCAGTCAGGGTGGTTTGGTTTGTTTCTTGTTTAACACTGCATGCAGCAATGTTCCAGCCATATGACAGCTGTCTGTAAATACTCGATGGTGTGTAGGTGTTTCTAGAGGATGTCCAACATTGATCTGGGGGTGTTCCTAGAGGATGTCCTACATTGATCTGGGGGTGTTCCTAGAGGATGTCCTACATTGATCTGGGGGTGTTCCTAAAAGGATGTCCTACATTGATCTGGGGGTGTTCCTAGAGGATGTCCTACCTTGATCTTGGGGTGTTCCTAGAGGATGTCCTACATTGATCGGGGGGTGTTCCTAGAGGATGTCTTACATTGATCGGGGGGTGTTCCTAGAGGATGTCCTACATTGATCTGGGGGTGTTTCTAGAGGATGTCCTACATTGATCTGGGGGTGTTCCTAGAGGATGTCCTACATTGATCTGGGGGTGTTCCTAGAGGATGTCCTACATTGATCTGGGGGTGTTCCTAGAGAATGTCCTACATTGATCTGGGGGTGTTCCTAGAGGATGTCCTACATCGATCGGGGGGTGTTCCTAGAGGATGTCCTACATTGATCTGGGGGTGTTCCTAGAGGATGTCCTACATTGATCTGGGGGTGTTCCTAGAGGATGTCCTACATTGATCTTGGGGTGTTCCTAGAGGATGTCCTACATTGATCTGGGGGTGTTCCTAGAGGATGTCCTTCATTGATCTGGGGGTGTTCCTAGAGGATGTCCTACATTGATCTGGGGGTGTTTCTAGAGGATGTCCTACATTGATCTGGGGGTGTTCCTAGAGGATGTCCTACATTGATCTGGGGGTGTTCCTAGAGGATGTCCTACATTGATCTGGGGGTGTTCCTAGAGAATGTCCTACATTGATCTGGGGGTGTTCCTAGAGGATGTCCTACATTGATCGGGGGGTGTTCCTAGAGGATGTCCTACATTGATCTGGGGGTGTTGGGATGTTTCTGGAGGTTACAGTTATGTCTTTGCAGGTGAAGAGTAAAGCCGGCGTGGTGTGTTCCTGTTACGGCCTCCTGGAGAACATCATTGGTCACATGACTGCCGGCATCTCCCTGGGGCTGGAGAAGAAGCAGGTGCTGCAGCTGCACTCCGCCATGCTCGGTGCCTTCAACAGCGTCATCTTCTTCCTGTCACAGGTGTCGCAACAGGAGATAGAGATGGTGGGTGGACTCCCGGGGTGGGTGGGATGTGAAGAGGGCAGATACAGGAGGTGGTTGGTGGATCGGAAGTGATGGATTGAGTTTTGTTGTTGAAGGTGCTTTGCGGACTGGTCAAGGATGTTTAGGATGATGATGTTGATATCTAGTGATTAAAAGCACTTTGACCAACCATATGTGTACTGAACCGCAAAAGAAACATCATATTAAAAAGATAAAATTTGGCAAAACTGATCATCAAGGTTGAAATTAAAGTATCAAATGTTCTTAAAGTGAAACACAACACTAGTCTCTCAGAAAATGGCATCACATGTCAGTATCTCGTGTGTCCGCCATGTGCATTGATGACTGCCGTGCATCGTTGGTACATGGAATGGATGTGGCGGTTGATGAAGGTCATAGGCGATCTTGAAGATGCTGACGGACAATCTGACGATCATGACGTCGGATGGTGACCCTTGGTCTTCCACTACGTGGTCGGTCATCTGTAGTGTTGGTGGTCTGGTACCGTTGCTGGAGCCTGTATATGGTCCTTACATGGACTTGAAATGCATTGGCTACTTGCCGGGCGGTTTGTCCAGCTTGCAATCGTCCAAGGGCTTGGTGTCGCTGATTTCTTGTCAGTCTTGGCATGTGGTAGCAATTCAATAACGAATGAATGTTATCCAATCTGGGTGGATTTTTATAGGGCAAGAAATGGGGGAACGCATGTGTATTTCAATTTGCACGGAACTCATGTGAATCAGGTTGCCATGGCCGTTGTCATCTGCTTTGTTATTTCATCATCAAATTTCATTTTCCCGGACAAGGTAATGTTAAATTTTAGAAACTTTGACAAAAAATTACCCAGATATTTAAATGACACCTTATCATGCAATGTTACTTGGGGTGACATTTCTTTTGCGGTTCAGTATATGTGTATTGTAAGACAAGTTGTCGGACCCTCTGTGTTGTGGGATGAGCTTCATGTAGAAGATGACACACTGAAACATTCTCTCTTGCAGTCCAGGACGTCCCTGCTGGTGACGGCGTCAGTGCGGGTGCTGGGGGCGTGGCTCGCAGAGGAGACGTCTGCACTCCGTGAGGAGATATACAACCTGCTTCCATTCCTTGTACAGATATGGTAATAACGCCCTTCTTTCTGTGGAGACCGTGTATAATGTAAACAACTCACAAACATGAATTCCTGATTTGATTAATTTCATTTGTTCAGGGAATCACACTTGATGCTTGGTTTTTGAAACTGAAAATCAAGATAATTAAATAACTATTAAAAACCTACATCAGTTTAATTCTGGTTAGAATAGGTCCCCACCACTATATTGCTTGTCACACCATTAAGACCCAGGTAAGAAAAGGTCCCCACCGATCTATTGCTTGTCACACCATAAAGACCCAGGTTAGAATAGGTCCCCACCGATCTATTGCTTGTCACACCATAAAGACCCGGGTTAGAATAGGCCCCCACCGATCTATTGCTTGTCACACCATAAAGACCCGGGTTAGAATAGGTCCCCACCGATCTATTGCTTGTCACACCAAAAAGACCCGGGTTAGAATAGGCCCCCACCGATCTATTGCTTGTCACACCATAAAGACCCGGGTTAGAATAGGTCCCCACCGATCTATTGCTTGTCACACCATAAAGACCCGGGTTAGAATAGGTCCCCACCGATCTATTGCTTGTCACACCATAAAGACCCAGGTTAGAATAGGTCCCCACCGATCTATTGCTTGTCACACCATTAAGACCCAGGTTAGAATAGGTCCCCACCGATCTATTGCTTGTCACACCATAAAGACCCAGGTTAGAATAGGCCCCCACCGATCTATTGCTTGTCACACTATAAAGACCCGGGTTAGAATAGGTCCCCACCGATCTATTGCTTGTCACACCATTAAGACCCAGGTTAGAATAGGCCCCCACCGATCTATTGCTTGTCACACCATTAAGACCCAGGTTAGAATAGGTCCCCACCGATCTATTGCTTGTCACACCATAAAGACCCAGGTTAGAATAGGTCCCCACCGATCTATTGCTTGTCACACCATAAAGACCCGGGTTAGAATAGGTCCCCACCGATCTATTGCTTGTCACACCATTAAGACCCAGGTTAGAATAGGCCCCCACCGATCTAATGCTTGACACACCATGAGGACCGGGGTTAGAATAGGTCCCCAGTCTTTATTGCTTGTCACAGCATGAGGAGAGGGGTTAGAAAAGGTCCCCAGTCTTTATTGCTTGTCACAGCATGAATACCTGTACATTCTTCATTATCCATTTCAGCAAAGCTCAAGTGCAAGGTATTCAAGGAGAATATGAAGAGACACCAGAGACAATACCCAGTCTAGACAGCCTGACCCTGGGTGCCCAGCCTCACCTAGAGACGCAGCCGACAGTTACTCAGGAGGAGGAGGTCACATCAAAGAACACAGATGGGGATCAAGCAGCAAGTTCTGAAGGTCAAGGTCAGAAGTCTGTCCGGTTTGACCCAGCTACTACAGAAGGTGAAGGACATCCTGTGTTGAGTGCAGACAGCCCCCAGTTCTCTGGGATGGACCAGTGCAAGGACCAGTGTACGGACCAGTGCAAGGACCAGTGCAAGGACCAGTGCATGGACCAGTCCGTGGACCAGTGCGTGGACCAGTGCTGCACCTCAGAGCAGTGTTCCAGCATAGAGCAGTGCTGCGGTGTGGATCTGGTGCGGTTCCTCCTGCCAGGTTTCTGCCACCTCACTGCAGAGGACAAGTCACGGACTATTTTGTTGGGTGAAAGTATTCACGTGTTTCTGCTGGAGTATTTCCGCCAACAGATGCTATACTTCCTGGACAACAGGGATGACCTTGATACTAAGGTAATACCAAGGTCATTTTTTTCCAAGGTAAAATTCAGGGTCATTGATTGCCATGGTGACATCATTCATTGATGTCAATGTCAAAAAGTCAGTTTGTAATATACTGCCAATCAGCTGTGTTTGTGTTATGATGGATATCCTACTGTGAACCAGCTATTGACACAAGGATCCGACTGTTGTAGGACTGTATCGCCAGCCTGTGTGGGATATTCCTGAACCTGTCGGTCACCGAGCCGGACACAGCCTCCTCCCACCACACATTTCACCGGCTCCTGGACATGGTCTGCCACTATCTTACCAAAACAGGTATCTCACCCTACTCCAGACTACCTCACCCCACCCTACCCTACCTCACCCTACCCTACCCTACCTCACCCCACCCTACCCTACCTCACCCCACCCTCCTGGACATGGTCTGCCACTATCTCACCAAGACAGGTACCTCACTCTACCCCAGACTACCTCACCCCACCCAACTCTACCTCACCCTACCCTACCTCACCCCACCCTACCCTACCTCACCCCACCCTCCTGGACATGGTCTGCCACTATCTCACCAAGACAGGTACCTCACTCTACCCCAGACTACCTCACCCCACCCAACTCTACCTCACCCTACCCTACCTCACCCCACCCTACCCTACCTCAACCCACCCTCCTGGACATGGTCTGCCACTATCTCACCAAAACAGGTATCTCACCCTACCCCAGACTACCTCACCCCACCCTCCTGGATATGGTCTGCCACTACCTCACCAAGACAGATACCTCACCTTACCCAAGACTACCTCAGCCCGTCCTAATCCACCTTATCCTACCCCATTCTGACCAAACCAACTCCACCCTAAACCTACCTTCCCACCCCACCCAGCCCAGCCCTTACTTCACCAACCACACCTAATTCTGACCAAACCAACCAAACTCTAAACCTACCTTCCCACCCCCTCAGCCCAGCCCTTACTTCACCAACCACACCTCATTCTGACCAAACCAACCCAACTCTAAACCTACCTTCCCACCCTACCCTCCCCAGCCCTTACTAGACCAACCACACCTCATTCTGACCAACCCAACTCTAAACCTACCTTCCCACCCCACCCCACCCAGCCCTTACTTGACCAACCACACCTCATTCTGACCAAACCAACTCCACCCTAAACCTACCTTCCCACCCTACCCTACCTACACTACATAAACCCACCCAACCTTTACACTAACCTTCTATACATCCCTGATTGCAATACAAGACATTAACGTGAGAATGTATGCACTGATAATGTCATGCATCTACACATGTGTGATTCTTTTTCAGTGCACGACTTCAATCTGCTGGTCATGTCGGGAAACTTTGTCACCATCGGGCTCATGCTGCTTCGGCACCAGAAACACAGAACAGGTTAGTACTGGACACTGCTCCATCACCAGAAACACAGAACAGGTTTGTGCTGGACACTGCTCCATCACCAGAAACACAGAACAGGTTAGTACTGGACACTGCTCCATCACCAGAAACACAGAACAGGTTTGTGCTGGACACTGCTCCATCGCCAGAAACACAGAACAGGTTTGTACTGGACACTGCTCCATCACCAGAAACACAGAACAGGTTAGTACTGGACACTGCTCCATCACCAGAAACACAGAACAGGTTTGTGCTGGACACTGCTCCATCACCAGAAACACAGAACAGGTTAGTACTGGACACTGCTCCATCGCCAGAAACGCCGAACAGGTTTGTGCTGGACACTGCTCCATCGCCAGAAACACCGAACAGGTTAGTACTGGACACTGCTCCAACACCAGAAACACAGAACAGGTTAGTACCCGGTACTGGGTTCTGCTCTTGTCATGTCAATGTTATACCATCATTCACTGACTCACCCATGACAGAGTGACATCATCATCTTGTAGACATCCAGCCCGAAGGGAGGGACCAGTTCTTAGCAGGGAGTATCAGCTTCCTGAGCAAGTGTCACTGTCGCGTCAGTCAGAAGCCCCCTGCCCTGGGAGTGTCGGAGACGTATCGGGCAGTGTGGGAGGACATCTCGGAGCTGTGGTTCCTCTCCATCCAAGGTAAGGCTTCACTTGTAATAGACTGTGTGTCTGTGTTCTACATGTGTGTGTCTGTGTTCTATATGTCTGTGTGTCAGTGTTCTACAGGTCTGTCTGTGTTCTACAGGTCTGTTTGTGTTCTACAGGTCTGTTTGTCTGTGTTCTGCAAGTCTGTCTGTGTTCTACATGTGTGTGTGTCTGTGTTCTGCAGGTCTGTCTGTGTTCTCCAGGTCTGTCTGTGTTCTACAGGTCTGTCTGCCCTGGTACCACTCTACCCAGATGTGGCCAGACTGCTCCTGTCTGTGTTCTACATGTGGGTGTCCGTGTTGTGCAGGTTTCTGTGCCCTGGTACCGCTCTACCCAGATGTGGCCAGACTGCTCCTGTCTGTATTCTACATGTGTGTGTGTCTGTGTTCTACATGTGTGTGTCCGTGTTGTGCAGGTCTCTGTGCCCTGGTACCGCTCTACCCAGATGTGGCCAGACTGCTCCTGTCTGTATTCTACATGTGTGTGTCCATGTTGTGCAGGTCTCTGTACCCTGGTACCACTCTACCCAGATGTGGCCAGACTGCTCCTGTCTGTATTCTACATGTGTGTGTCCGTGTTGTGCAGGTCTCTGTGCCCTGGTACCACTCTACCCAGATGTGGCCAGACTGCTCCTGTCTGTATTCTACATGTGTGTGTCCGTGTTGTGCAGGTCTCTGTGCCCTGGTACCGCTCTACCCAGATGTGGCCAGACTGCTCCTGTCTGTATTCTACGTGTGTGTGTCCGTGTTGTGCAGGTCTCTGTGCCCTGGTACCGCTCTACCCAGATGTGGCCAGACTGCTCCTGTCTGTATTCTACATGTGTGTGTCCATGTTGTGCAGGTCTCTGTGCCCTGGTACCGCTCTACCCAGATGTGGCCAGACTGCTCCTGTCTGTATTCTACGTGTGTGTGTCCGTGTTGTGCAGGTCTCTGTGCCCTGGTACCACTCTACCCAGATGTGGCCAGACTGCTCCTGTCTGTATTCTACATGTGTGTGTGTGTCTGTGTTCTACATGTGTGTGTCCGTGTTGTGCAGGTCTCTGTGCCCTGGTACCGCTCTACCCAGATGTGGCCAGACTGCTCCTGTCTGTATTCTACATGTGTGTGTCAGTGTTGTGCAGGTCTCTGTGCCCTGGTACCGCTCTACCCAGATGTGGCCAGACTGCTCCTGTCTGTATTCTATGTGTGTGTGTCCGTGTTGTGCAGGTCTCTGTGCCGTGGTACCGCTCTACCCAGATGTGGCCAGACTGCTCCTGTCTGTATTCTACATGTGTGTGTCCGTGTTGTGCAGGTCTCTGTGCCCTGGTACCGCTCTACCCAGATGTGGCCATGTTCTACATGTGTGTGTCCGTGTTGTGCAGGTTTCTGTGCCCTGGTACCGCTCTACCCAGATGTGGCCATGTTCTACATGTGTGTGTCCGTGTTGTGCAGGTCTGTGTGCCCTGGTACCACTCTACCCAGATGTGGCCAGACTGCTCCTGTCTGTATTCTACATGTGTGTGTCCGTGTTGTGCAGGTCTGTGTGCCCTGGTACCGCTCTACCCAGACGTGGCCAGACTGCTCCTGTCTGTATTCTACATGTGTGTGTGTGTCTGTGTTCTACATGTGTGTGTCCGTGTTGTGCAGGTCTCTGTGCCCTGGTACCGCTCTACCCAGATGTGGCCAGACTGCTCCTGTCTGTATTCTACATGTGTGTGTCCGTGTTGTGCAGGTCTGTGTGCCCTGGTACCGCTCTACCCAGACGTGGCCAGACTGCTCCTGTCTGTATTCTACATGTGTGTGTGTGTCTGTGTTCTACATGTGTGTGTCCGTGTTGTGCAGGTCTCTGTGCCCTGGTACCGCTCTACCCAGATGTGGCCATGTTCTACATGTGTGTGTCCGTGTTGTGCAGGTCTCTGTGCCCTGGTACCGCTCTACCCAGATGTGGCCAAACTGCTCCTCAAGTCCGGCTGGTTGCCTGCACTCATCAGAATGTTGCTTGGGGTCAAAGGTGAGTGAGTCTTCTTCACAGAACATTTGAAACATAAACAGCATTGTGAATTTGAATCCAGACTGATCCCTGATCGAGGTACTCAACACAAAGGTGATCATTTCCAGGAGAAGGAGTCGACCCTGATACGGAGACAGCCTTCCTGTCCCTAATCCTGACCCTCGCCTCCCGGGATAAACCTGCCAGACTCGTCATCAGGGAAAAGAGGGGCATCGAACTTGCCCAGTAAGTAGACACATGTTGTCAGCCTATTCTCACACTCACAAAGTTCTTGTTAACCATCATGGTTCCCATATCGTCAACTGTTGTTGTTAAACTTCAAGGATGTGTAGGGGGCACGGGTGGGTTTCACCGAAATGGTAAACGTCTGATACCTGCATCATTTTGGGCATTCCTCCCAAATTAAGCTGACACATCGCGATATCACTGTAATACTGTTAAAAATGGCGTTAAACCCAACTCACTCACTCAAGGATGTGTATATCTTGTTTCCGCAGTATGTACCACTGTGAGGACCTGGAGAAGGCCTTGACCGATGCGTGATGAAGCCCGCATCATCCACCAACAGCTAGACCAGCATCCCGCCTTCACAGACTAGCCATGTGACAGATGACGTAGGAGACTAGGATATAATAGTTCCTCCTTTGTATCTTCCCCCCCCCCCCCCCCCCCCCCCATGACTTGGGATGGGGGATATAAGAATGGAGTTCATCTGTCTGTCCATCCGTCCTTTCGCTTCTCAAAGGGGACAAATTTACTCAAAAACTATTTAAGTCAGAGAAATGAAATTTTACACACTTATGTTACTGATCATGATTTCAAATGAGTTCGTTAAATTGGTGTTGTAAATTCAATTTTTTGCAGAGTTATGGCCCTTGCTCTGTGCTTTTCAAGTTAGTGCACACTGTGAAATGGGAACAAATTTTCTCAGAAACTGAAGTGACTTGAATTAAAGTCTGCATGATTAACTAAGAAATGCTTGTCAAGAGGGTTTGAAAGTTGTTCCCATAAATTATTTGTTTTACAGAGTTATGTCCCTTGATCCATGTTATTGTTCTTTGTGCAGAGTGGGGACAAGTTTTCTCAGAAACTACTGAAGTAAGTTTATCAAAGAGATACTTATCAAGTGTATTAATTTCACATTTAATAATTGTTTCTGATGACATAAAGTGGTCCAAGTGCCTATCTCTCCTTAATGCTTTATATGACTCTTTTTATAGATTATATTTACTACTATATGTACAAACAATATTCTAATGTGCCCAATAGCTGGGTATAGTGATAGTGTTGTTTTCTTGTTATTTGACTAGTGGAATATCAGGTTGCTAGGTGTGGTCCTGTTGCTAGGTGTGGTACTGTTGCTAGGTGTGGTTGATGGACACAAGTGAAGATGTCAACTGTGATTGAATGAACACAGTTTTAAAGTGAGGACAACTGATTTTATTGTAAAAATACCACAAGATTAGACCCTGCATGTTCAACACACAGTACAGAGTGTGAATAATCATCACAGACAAGAGGCTCACCACACAGCACCCAATCTCATTAAAACCAGACCTCAGTTCACGCTACAGCTAAATTACGAGTCACGTCAGAACGACCTTTCATCCGACCAATCAGAGCATTGCTTACCAGATTATGAAAGTGACAGTCAGAATGTGATTTCTGATCATGCAGCCTCGAAAAGTTTAACTCCGAACGATAGTTACGGGTTTAACGACTGTATCCATACAATCTAGACCATATATTTGCCATTCCAGAATGTTCTTTTGTTCAGGTTTCAAATTTGTAATCGAGAATTTGTCAAAATATGTTTCGAAGCGTAGTCGCCAATTTGAAATTAGTGCCGTAAAGCACGAGAAAGCTGCCTTCTGATTGGTCATTCCATTGGTCGGTCAAAGTCATGCAAGGTCGGTCTGACATGACCCGTAATGGGATGTTCTCAGATCTTTGTTTAGCGGTAGCGAGAACTAAGATCTGATTTTAATGAGATTGCACAGCACCAAGGCAGCCATCAGATGGTAAAATTTGTACATATTGTCATATACAAGTGTTTATGATTGCGATCTTTGCCTGAATTCATAATAAACTATTAAAACATGAATTAATGTTTTGTTGACAAGGAATCTTTCTTCCTGGACAGTGGGGAGTTGCAGGACACAGTTCCAAGACCAGCACAATATTCCTGTCACACACAGACATGACATAGCCATGGCAAAACTACCGCCACCAAAATCTTACATTTCAAATCTTGACAAGAACATGTTCAAAATGACATGCTGGAACTGTGTATTGTTTGCTGTTTGCTGCCCTTAGCAATATTCCAGCCATGATGGCAGCAGGAAAATCATGGAGGCTGGAATAGAAAACCAGTGATTGATATTATGAACAAAGTGCAATGTCATCTGGGGGATGAAGACACACAATGAACAAGTGGGACCGCCAGCAGTAGGTCGGCAGAACAGATGGACAATGGATGCTCGGTCTCTTCTTCTTGTTACCATCATTTGACTCCCCAGGGTGTACAGGTGTTGGAGAAGAATTGTTGACTGGATCAGTACACACACACACACACACTGGCTTGACAATATCAACACACCCAGAACTACACAAGCATGATTCCGACACAACGTACCAGCTCGGACCATGTGTCTGTGTGTTCTGACACAACGTACCAGCTCGGACCATGTGTCTGTGTGAACTAACACAACATACCAGCTCGGACCATGTGTCTGTGTATTACGACACAATGTACCAGCTTGCACCATGTGTGTGTTCTGACACAACTACCAGCTCGGACCATGTGTCTGTGTGTTCCGACACAGCTCGGAGTATGTGTCTGTGTGATCTGACACAACGTACCAGCGCGGACCATGTGTCTATGTATTACGACACAATGTACCAGCTAGCACCAAGTGTCTGTGTATTTGAGGTGACTGGCCATATCACAGATCAGGGAATGTGTGTAGTGAGACTATATCGTAAGTTAACCCGTCGAGGATACAGTGGGGTGGTGACAGTGCAAGGGTTAACAGCAACACCACAGTGTTCTACTGAGTGAGTGAATTAGTTAAAAAATAGTCCAGCTATGTGGGTAAAAACCTCTCCTGACTTTGATGATGGTGATACACATTAACTCTCCGACTGCCAACACAGTCTATTGACTGCTCAGCCAGAGGCGGATGATGTTCTTCTCCTGTGTGCGGGCTGCCTTCACGTAGGCTGTGTCGTCCTTGTTGGCAGCGCGCAGATCAAGGTGGTGTGCTCCGTCGGGGATCTGGATGGCTATCAGGGTGTCGGACAGTGAGTTGAGAACGCCGCCGGCAGACCACGGGTCCAGCAGACCATTGCTAGAAACACAAACATAGTGTCACTGTTGTCTGCTGCAGGAAGAGGACAACTGACTGACTGGGAAGACTGAGTTTTTAGTGGAAGACTTAGTATGAACACGTCTGCCCCACAACTCACCCTGACTACCTTTGTAGTCATATGACACTTTTATATATGACAGTCCATGATGAGATATGACACTTTTATATATGACAGTCCATGATGAGATATGACACTTTTATATCTTACAGTCCATGATGAGATATGACACTTTTATATCTTACCGTCCATGATGAGATATGACACTTTTATATATGACAGTCCATGATGAGATATGACACTTTTATATATGACAGTTCATGATGAGATATGACACTTTTATATATGACAGTTCATGATGAGATATGACACTTTTATATCTTACCGTCCATGATGAGATATGACACTTTTATATCTGACAGTCCATGATGAGATATGACACTTTTATATCTTACCGTCCATGATGAGATATGACACTTTTATATATGACAGTCCATGATGAGATATGACACTTTTATATCTTACAGTCCATGATGAGATATGACACTTTTATATCTTACCGTCCATGATGAGATATGACACTTTTATATATGACAGTCCATGATGAGATATGACACTTTTATATATGACAGTTCATGATGAGATATGACACTTTTATATATGACAGTTCATGATGAGATATGACACTTTTATATATGACAGTTCATGATGAGATATGACACTTTTATATCTTACCGTCCATGATGAGATATGACACTTTTATATCTGACAGTCCATGATGAGATATGACACTTTTATATCTTACCGTCCATGATGAGATATGACACTTTTATATATGACAGTCCATGATGAGATATGACACTTTTATATATGACAGTTCATGATGAGATATGACACTTTTATATATGACAGTTCATGATGAGATATGACACTTTTATATATGACAGTTCATGATGAGATATGACACTTTTATATCTTACAGTCCATGATGAGATATGACACTTTTATATCTTACAGTCCATGATGAGATATGACACTTTTATATCTTACAGTCCATGATGAGATATGACACTTTTATATATGACAGTCCATGATGAGATATGACACTTTTATATATGACAGTCCATGATGAGATATGACACTTTTATATATGACAGTGCATGATGAGATATGACACTTTTATATCTTACAGTCCATGATGAGATATGACACTTTTATATATGACAGTCCATGATGAGATATGACACTTTTATATATCACAGTCCATGATGAGATATGACACTTTTATATATGACAGTTCATGATGAGATATGACACTTTTATATATGACAGTTCATGATGAGATATGACACTTTTATAAATGACAGTCCATGATGAGATATGACACTTTTATATATGACAGTCCATGATGAGATATGACACTTATAAATATCACAGACCATGATGAGATATGACACTTTAATACAGGACAGTCCATGTCTAGATATGATACTTGCTTCATCCACCCGTAATGAAACCATTTAACACTAAAGAAGCAGAAAATATCTTGGCTCACCTAAAGATGATGTTGGTGGGGGCTTCGATGTCCTTGCCGCCATATTGTGTGGATACCCAGTCCTGGCGTGGTCGTATCTTGTACGAGGAGAAGCAGCTGTTGCTGAAGCTGGTGAAGTTCCACGTGGTCGGCTCAAACATGGAGGAACTGTCAGCACAGCTTGGCATCACCATCTCCGTGCACGCCTGAATCAAAACAAGCGTTGGTCAAACTATCTACACATTCTCATGTCACACTTGACCGATAGCCTTACCAGATGCTGTCACACATTTTTTTTATTTTTTTTTAAATTGTTTTTATTAATTCCAGAGGGTACATAGTCATCGTATCATAAGTGGCATCAAATTATATGTTGATTACAATGAGAGAAATGTACAGGAAGTGATATGACGGTAGGTTCACCTTTCATACTTTGTAATAATTGTAAGAGATATAGATTAAGGAAGCTAATCCGTCTGCGTTATGGTTTTCTCCATTAAACTCCATTTTTTAGAGAAAGAACTAATTGTTCCGTTTCCTTTTGCAAGGAACAATTCGACATAGTAAATATCTTTCAGTATATTTCTGTATGACTTAAAATATGGTTTTACTCCTTTAATGTGTGTTACGGAAATGTGTCTTTTTGCCAATACCAATAAGTGATTTAATAAGATGTTATTTGTATCTCCAAAATAGAAATCTTGTTTTGTAATGAAAATATGACCGAAAATAACGTTTATGAAAGCATCAAATTCGTCCCAGAATTCTTTAACACAAGAACATTCTAAATATACATGAGCGATGTTTTCACTGTCTGAAGTGCAAAATGAGCAAAGGTTGTTGTCAACCAAGTTCATATTAACAATTCCTTTTTAGTGTATATAATTTTGTGTAGGAATTTGAATTTGAATTCTAATAGTTTTGTAACTATTGTAGATTTTCTATATTGTAAAAATACATATTTCCAATTAATTTGATTATTAAATTCTTGTTCCCACTTCTCACAAACTTCTGGAAAGTTAGATGATGAAATGAAGTTGTCATAAAATATCCTTGAACCTTTGCTTGTCTTAAGTAAATCAAGCCATGGAGAAGAAATGTTTAGTTGAATTGTGTTTAGATTATTTGAATCATGCACAAGATCTTTCCATGGCTTCGGGATATTTAAGAGCAAACCGTTATATTCCAATAGAGTACCTTTTATAACATACATTATTTTCAGCTCAGGGAATCATTTACCTGATAGCCCCACCCAACACTGTCACAATTCACTGATAACCCCACCTGACACAATTACCTGATAGCCCCACCCAACACTGTCACATTTACCTGATAGCCCAACCCAACACTGTCACAATTCACTGATAGCCCAAACCCGACACTGTCACACTAACCTGATAGCACAACCCAACACTGTCACATTTACCTGATAGCCCCACCCAACACTGTCACATTTACCTGATAGCCCAACCCAACACTGTCACATTTACCTGATACCCCCACCCAACACTGTCACATTTACCTGATAGCCCAACCCAACACTGTCACATTTACCTGATAGCCCAACCCAACACTGTCACATTTACCTGATAGCCCAACCCAACACTGTCACATTTACCTGATAGCCCAACCTGACACTGTCACACATACCTGATAGCCCCACCCAACACTGTCACATTTACCTGATAGCCCAACCCAACACTGTCACAATTCACTGATAGCCCCACCCGACACTGTCACACTTACCTGATAGCACAACCCAACACTGTCACATTTACCTGATAGCCCCACCTGACACTGTCACAATTACCTGATAGCCCCACCCAACACTGTCACATTTACGTGATAGCCCAACCCAACACTGTCACATTTACGTGATAGCCCAACCCAACACTGTCACATTTACCTGATAGCCCAACCCAACACTGTCACATTTACCTGATAGCCCCACCTGACACTGTCACAATTACCTGATAGCCCCACCCAACACTGTCACATTTACGTGATAGCCCAACCCAACACTGTCACATTTACGTGATAGCCCAACCCAACACTGTCACATTTACCTGATAGCCCAACCCAACACTGTCACATTTACCTGATAGCCCAACCCAACACTGTCACAATTCACTGATAGCCCCAGCCGACACTGTCACATTTACCTGATAGCCCCACCTGACACTGTCACAATTACCTGATAGCCCCACCCGACACTGTCACATTTACGTGATAGCCCAACACTGTCACACATACCTGATAGCCCCACCTGACACTGTCACATTTACCTAATAGCCCCACCCGACACTGTCACACATACCTGATAGCCCCATCCAGCATCACCGAGACTGGCGGTGGCATCCTGGGATGTGTTGAGGCACTTGGCCTGGCCAGTGTAGTTGAAGTAGATGTTCACAGCCTCGTACAGCCCCTGCATCAGGAGCTTGTCCTGTAGGGGACTTCCTAGTGGTGCACACACAGCCTGGAACATGATACACAGCCTGTAACATGACACACAGCCTGTAACATGACACACAGCCTGTAACATGACACACAGCCTGTAACATGACACACAGCCTGTAACATGACACACAGCCTGTAACATGACACAAAGCCTGTAACATGACACACAGCCTGTAACATGACACACAGCCTGTAACATGACACAGTCTGTAACATGACACAAAGCCTGTAACATGACACACTCTGTAACATGACACACAGCCTGTAACATGACACACAGCCTGTAACATGACACACAGCCTGTAACATGACACAAAGCCTGTAACATGACACACAGCCTGTAACATGACACACAGCCTGTAACATGACACAGTCTGTAACATGACACAAAGCCTGTAACATGACACACTCTGTAACATGACACACAGCCTGTAACATGACACACAGCCTGTAACATGACACACAGCCTGCAACATGACACACAGCCTGTAACATTTCACACAGCCTGTAACATTTCACACAGCCTGTAACATGACACACAGCCTGTAACATGACACAGCCTGCAACATGACACACAGCTTGTAACATGACACACAGCTTGTAACATGACACACAGCCTGCAACATGGCACACAGCCTGCAACATGATATGCAGTCTGTAGCATGACACACAGCCGTAGCATGACATGCAGTCTGTAACATGAGGGGGTATATTACCTTGACAGGTGACAGGGGGGTATGTTACCTGGACAGGTGAGAGGGGGTTATGTTACCTGGACAGATGAGAGGAGGTTATGTTACCGGGACAGGTGAGAGGAGGTTATGTTACCTGGACAGGTGAGAGGAGGTTATGTTACCTGGACAGGTGAGAGGAGGTTATGTTACCTGGACAGGTGAGAGGAGGTTATGTTACCTGGACAGGTGAGAGGAGGTTATGTTACCTGGACAGATGAGAGGAGGTTATGTTACCTGGACAGGTGAGAGGAGGTTATGTTACCTGGACAGGTGAGAGGAGGTTATGTTACCTGGACAGGTGAGAGGGGGTTATGTTACCTGGACAGGTGAGAGGAGGTTATGTTACCTGGACAGGTGAGAGGGGGTTATGTTACCTGGACAGGTGAGAGGGGGCTACGTGACCTTGAGAGGTGAGAGGGGGATACATGACCTTGAGAGGTGAGAGGGGGATATTTTACCTTGACAGGTGAGAGGGGGTTATGTTACCTTGAGAGGTGAGAGAGGTTATGTTACCTAGACAGGTGAGAGGAGGTTATATTACCTGGACAGGTGAGAGGGGGTTATGTTACCTTGAGAGGTGAGAGAGGATTATATTACCTAGATAGGTGAGAGAGGGTTATGTTACCTGGAGAGGTGAGAGGGGATTATATTACCTAGATAGGTGAGAGAGGGTTATGTTACCCCAACAGGTGAGAGGGGGTTATGTTACCTGGACAGGTGAGAGGGGGTTATGTTACCTGGACAGGTGAGAGGTGGTTATGTTACCTTGACAGGTGAGAGAGGGTTATGGTACCTTGACAGGTGAGAGGGGGTTACGTAACCTTGAGAGGTGAGAGGGGGATATGTTATCTGGACAGGTGAGGGGGGTTATATTACCGGGACAGGTGAGAGGGGGGTACATAACCTTGACAGGTGAGAGGGGGTTATGTTAGCCGGACAGGTGAGGGGGGTTATATTACCGGGACAGGTGAGGGGGGTTATGTTACCTTTACTGGCCAGGCAGGCAGTGGTTCCAGGAAGTTGGCAGGGTAGGGGTAGTTGACCATGGCCAGGTCAAACCAAGCATTAGCCAGCCAGGCCTTGAAGTTGCCAACATCATCTGCCGTCTTCAGAGGGGAACACAGGTGAAATGTGTTGTAGATGAAGTTCCTGCCTTCCGCTGACAACACAAGATACGATACATTATACATGGGTCAACACATTACCCATCAACTACAGACCATGTAGAGAAGTGTTCCCTATTCTCCACTAAGTCCCTTTTTCTGGAATGGGAGTGAGTTGTTGAGCAGGACGTCGTCACATCACAGCGAGTCAACCAGATGCAGACTATCTACATTCACCACTTTGGTGAAACCCACAGGCACTTTGTAATGCTGACAAACCTGGAAACGTGGCCAGGGCAAATCTGGTATTCAAACTCACGATCATAGGTTTCTGGCATGCACAAGGGAGACAACTCTGCACAATGATTGGGCGACCAATGCCCTTGTATGGAATGGGCCAGAGTGGCACATGTAGTCTGTGTTGTCCCTGGCGATCATACCACCTCTGACACCGACTTGTACATACCTGTGACAGACTTGTAGTGAGGTGAGGTGAAATGGGGTTTAATATCATGTCCAAGATTATTGCACTCATATAGCGACATGCATGCACGTGTGTGTGTGGCTGCTTGTACTAGTTCGGACTAATGCTGATTTTTTAGTGCTGGCCCACTGAGATACCAAGCCACAGTTTAACATGAATACCCCACTCAGATACAGTATACTGACTCCAAAATGGACCAGTCCTTGTTTTAGCCCCTTAATGCCGAGCACCAGACAGGGTAACAACAAGTACCATCTTTTAACATCTTTTGCTATGACACAGCCGGGTATCCAACCCTGGACCTTCCGCTCTCTGTGCGGACATTGTACCACTAGAGTGAGTGAGTTGTGTTTAACGCCGCTTTTAACAGTATTCCAGTCATATCACGGCGTGTCAGCTTAATGTGTGAGGAAAGCCCCAAGTGATGCAGGTCTTAGACGTTTACCTCTTCGGTGAAACCCACGAGCACGGGTATGGTGCTGACAAACCTAGAAACATAATCGGGGCGAACCGGGATTTGAACCCATAATCATAGATTTCTGACGTGCCCAAGGGACGCAACTCTGTGCAGCAAATTGTGGCGCCTTAGACGACTGGGCCACTCGTGCACCCCTCTACCACTAGACCATGGAGGCAGTCGTGACAGACTTGTGCATACCTGTGGCAGCTATTTTATCGATGGTGGTCCATGACTGGCGGATGTTGTCAACACATGGTGGGGAGGCCTTCATGAAGGACTTTGTGATTGTGTCCATCAGGGCGGTGCATTTAGTCAGACCAGTGAAATCCCATATAGGAGCCGAGGCCGCAAGCGCACTGAGGACAAATTACATTGCAGATAGCAGCATTTTAACCATAGCAGATAGAACATTTCAAACAGTCATATTGCAGATAAAATTTAATCAATAAGATCGCAAATAAAAACATCTTAACCAATCATATTACATACATATAACAGGAATGATCAATCAACCTGCGTTTTGTTATGTTGCCATGGTGATCCTTACCCTACAACTGTGCTGATTCAGCCAATCTGGGTTTTGTTATGTTGCCATGGTTATCCTTGCCCTACGACTGTGCTGAGTCAGCCAATCTGGGTTTTGTTCTGTTGCCAAGGAGATCCTTACCCTACAACTGTGCTGAGTCAGCCAATGTGGGTTTTGTTCTGTTGCCAAGGCGATCCTTACCCTACGACTGTGCTGAGTCGGCCAATCTGGGTTTTGTTCTGTTGCCAAGGTGATCCTTACCCTATAACTGCGCTGGGGTACTTCATCCTCATCCATGCAGACAACATTCCCCCATACGAGCCCCCGAAAGCAACGACTGGGCTGTCACTTGTCCCAGGAATAGATGACTTGAGGTATCGGATCAGCACAGCAAAGTCGGCCAGAGCTTGCTCAGAGGTCAGGTAGTTCAACTTGCTGGGATCCTGAAGGGGGATACAGACATACAGGTGAGTTCAGACACAGCATTTATAAGTGAGACACTTGTTTACATAAGTGAGACATTGGTTTACATAAGTGAGACCTTGGTTTACATAGCTGAGACAAAGAGTATATAGTTCAAACATTGGTTTACATAAGTGAGACACTGGTTTACATAGGTGAGCTAAAGAGTATACAATTCAAACATTGGTTTTCATAGGTGAGACACTGGTTTACATAGGTGAGACACTGGTTTACATAAGTGAAGAAATTCTTTATGATTGAGACACTGGTTTACAGAGCTGACACAAAGGGTATATGGTTGAGACATACAGGTGACACGGTGGTATATGGCTTCACACTGTGTCAGTCAACAACATCAAGACCTGAAGGTGTGACTGAATCTTACCTTGAAAGCTTGTGAGCCGTAGGGTATCGACGAGCCATAGTATCGGTGCTCAGCAAACACCAGTAGAGCTCGGAATTCAGGTGCGATATCCCACATAAAACCCTGAAAAAACACAGAATTCAGGTGCGATATCCCACATCAATCCCTGTAATTAACAGGGAATTCAGGTGTGATATCCCACATAAAACCCTGTAATTAACACACAATTCAGGTGTGACATCCCACATAAAACTATGTAAAAAAATAGGAAGAGGTTATTATGCTTAGTTATATATTACTGTATTGAATGCAATCTCAAAATACAATGTTAAAATGGGCCAACCTCTGAATTAAAAAAATAAGAACTTCCCAATTTTGAACAAAATTATTTTTCAGAAATTACCAAGCTGCCAAGGGATTCATTAAAAATCCTAGAAAAATCCATGACTGGTGACACAGATGCTTGTATCAGTCGTGAACATGATGAAGAAAGGTGTACCGTATTCGACGTAATAAGCGCCCCGCTCTAATAAGCGCCCATGGGGATAACTGCTAACATATTAGCTAGTGAACAATCGCAATTAGCACCCCTTCCGATTGATCAATGTACACAAGACTTTTATATTCGCGTATAATACGCAATCGTGTGTTATATGCACCCTTAATTATGGGCAATTAAATTCTGGAAAAATATATCTGTCGTACATAAACATTTCAGGCTGTCAGTGTAGCCGGGGTAGTGGTATTTATCTGGCTCGGGCCGTTGGGAAACACAGACACAGGCAGATGGTGATAATGGATTTATTGCAAGGGGGTGGCTGCTGTTGAAGAACTACCTGAAGAAAAGAAAATGTCCTTCCTCCTCAACAGCAGCACATGAAGTCATATATTTGCAAGTTTACAGGTATTATTTATCTTAAATATAAAAGTACAAAAGCCATTGATAAACTATACTAAAACTAACTTTAATGTTAAGTTACTGTTGTATGTTCATTATAGGATACTTGAAAAGCACATGGGCCAAAATGGACCATGTGGTTAATTATTTTACAAGCAAGTTTTATAATATCAATATTCCATTTACTAATTTAATATTACTTTAAATGATATTATATATATTATTCAATTTAATTCAGCACCCTAATATAGATATTAATTTCTGACAGAAGCAGATGAAAACAGATTGAAATATGGCCATTCCATACCTGAAGAAAAGAAAATGTCCTTCCTCCTCAACAGCAGCACATGAAGTGAGGAGTAAGTCAGGTATGGAAGGAAGCTACCTGTAGAGGACCAGGGTGGCCAATTAGAAGACAGATTGCATTAAGTATCAAAGGAAGTGCTTAATGCAAGATATAAATAGACTGAGGGAAACCCTACAGGTGTGAAAAATGTCTAAAGATAGACAGAAGGTTGAAGGGGAAGATCTGGTGTGAGATTCCCAGTGACTGAAAATAAGGGTGTTGAGTTGTTTATAGAGTTAGATACTGATATTCAACTGTAGACAAGACAAACATTGAACATATAGATGATTATGATGATGATGTATGAATAATGATATAACTATAGGAAGAATATAAGGTACCCTGCTACATCAGCATAAACCACGATATTTATCTTTCAACTCTGTTTTTTCCACCAAAATAATATTCTAATAGGAGCCCCTATTTGTAATTTTTGAGAGCGCCCTGGGCGCTTATTACGTCGAATACGGTAATTTGATTTGACAGGTATTTCTAAGGCTGTGTCACTCAAACCACAGTCAAGCCAAAGCTATAGCGGTTAATTGGGCCGGAGTATTTCTGGAGGTGGTGTGTATGTGATGAATTGAGGCTGTGTGTGATGCATGGAGGCTGTGTGTATGTGAAGAATGGAGGCTGTGTGTGTGAGGAATGGAGGCTGTGTGTGTGTGAGGAATGGAGGCTGTGTGTGTGAGGGATTCTGGCTGTGTGTATGTGAGGAATGGAGGCTCTATGTGTGTGTGTGTGTGTGTGTGTGTGTGTGTGTGTGTGTGTGTGTGTGTGTGTGTGTGTGTGTGTGTGCATGCGTGCGTGCGTGTGTGTGACTGTGTGTGTGAAATGAAGGCTGTGTGTAAGGAATGGAGGCTGTGTATGTGAGGAATGGAGGCTGTGTATGTGAGGAATGGAGGCTGTATGTGTGAGGAATGGAGGCTGTGTGTGAGGAATGGAGGCTGTGTGTGTGTGAGGAATGGAGGCTGTGTGTGTGTGAGGAATGGAGGCTGTGTGTATGTGAGGAATGGAGGCTGTGTGTGTGTGAGGAATGGAGGCTGTGTGTGTGAGGAATGGAGGCTGTGTGTATGTCAGGAATGGAGGCTGTGTATGTGAGGAATGGAGGCTGTGTATGTGAGGAATGGAGGCTGTGTGTGTGAAGAATGGAGGCTGTGTGTGTGTTTGAGGAATGGAGGCTGTGTGTATGTGAGGAATGGAGGCTGTGTGTGTGTGTGTGAGGAATGGAGGCCGTGTGTGAGGAATGGAGGCTGTGTGTGAGGAATGGAGGCTGTGTGTGTGAGGAATGGAGGCTGTGTGTGTGAGGAATGGAGGCTGTGTGTGAGGAATGGAGGCTGTGTGTGTGTGTGTGTGAGGAATGGAGGCTGTGTGTGAGGAATGGAGGCTGTGTGTGAGGAATGGAGGCTGTGTGTGTGAGGAATGGAGGTTGTGTGTGTGTGAGGAATGGAGGTTGTGTGTGTGTGAGGAATGGAGGTTGTGTATGTGAAGAATGGAGGCTGTGTGTGTGAGGAATGGAGGCTGTGTGTGTGTGAGGAATGGAGGCTGTGTGTGTGAAGAATGGAGGCTGTGTGTGTGAGGAATGGAGGCTGTGTGTGTAAGGAATGGAGGCTGTGTGTGTGAAGAATGGAGGCTGTGTGTGTGAGGAATGGAGGCTGTGTGTGTGAGGAATGGAGGCTTTGTGTGAGGAATGGAGGCTGTGTGTATGTGAGGAATGGAAGTGGTGTCTATGTGAGGAATGGAGGTTGTGTATGTGTGAGGAATGGAGGCTGTGTGTGTGAGTAATGGAGGTTGTGTGTGTGTGAGGAATGGAGGCTGTGTGTGTGTGAGGAATGGAGGCTGTGTGTATGTGAGGAATGGAAGTGGTGTGTATGTGAGGAATGGAGGTTGTGTATGTGTGAGGAATGGAGGCTGTGTGTGTGAGTAATGGAGGTTGTGTGTGTGTGAGGAATGGAGGCTGTGTGTGTGTGAGGAATGGAGGCTGTGTGTATGTGAGGAATGGAGGCTGTGTGTGTGTGAGGAATGGAGGCTGTGTGTGTGAGGAATGGAGGCTGTGTGTATGTCAGGAATGGAGGCTGTGTGTGTGTGAGGAATGTAGCCTGTGTGTGTGAGGAATGGAGGCTGTGTGTATGTGAGGAATGGAGGCTGTGTATGTGAGGAATGGAGGCTGTGTGTGTGTGAGGAATGGAGGCTGTGTGTGTGTGAGGAATGGAGGCTGTGTATGTGAGGAATGGAGGCTGTGTGTGTGTGAGGAATGGAGGCTGTGTGTGTGTGAGGAATGGAGGCTGTGTGTGTGTGTGAGGAATGGAGACTGTGTGTGTGTGTGAGGTGTGAGGAATGGCGGCTGTGTGTGTGTGAGGAATGGAGGCTGTGTGTGAGGAATGGAGGCTGTGTGTATGTGAAGAATGGAGGCCGTGTATGTGTGAGGAATGGAGGCTGTGTGTATGTGAGGAATGGAGGTTGTGTGTATGTGAGGAATGGAGGCTGTGTGTATATGAGGAATGGAGGCTGTGTGTGTGAGGAATGGAGGCTGTATGTATGTGAGGAATGGAGGCTGTGTGTGTGTGAGGAATGGAGGCTGTGTGTGTGAGGAATGGAGGCTGTGTGTATGTGAGGAATGGAGGCTGTGTGTGTGAAGAATGGAGGCTGTGTGTGTGTGAGGAATGGAGGCTGTGTATGTGAGGAATGGAGGCTGTGTGTGTGTGAGGAATGGAGGCTGTGTGTGTGTGAGGAATGGAGGCTGTGTGTGTGTGTGAGGAATGGAGGCTGTGTGTGTGTGTGTGTGTGTGAGGAATGGCGGCTGTCTGTGTGTGAGGAATGGAGGCTGTGTGTGAGGAATGGAGGCTGTGTGTATGTGAAGAATGGAGGCTGTGTATGTGTGAGGAATGGAGGCTGTGTGTATGTGAGGAATGGAGGTTGTGTGTGTGAGGAATGGAGGCTGTGTGTGTGAGGAATTCTGGCTGTGTGTATGTGAGGAATGGAGGCTCTGTGTGTGTGTGTGTGTGTGTGTGTGTGTGTGTGTGTGTGTGTGTGTGTGTGTGTGTGTGTGTGTGTGTGTGTGTGTGTGAAGAATGGAGGCTGTGTATGTGATGAATGGAGGCTGTGTGTGTAAGGAATGGAGGCTGTGTATGTGAGGAATGGAGGCTGTGTGTGAGGAATGGAGGCTGTGTATGTGAGGAATGGAGGCTGTGTGTGAGGACTGGAGGCTGTGTATGTGAGGAATGGAGGCTGTGTGTGAGGAATGGAGGCTGTGTGTGTGTGAGGAATGGAGGCTGTGTGTATGTGAGGAATGGAGGCTGTGTGTGTGTGAGGAATGGAGGCTGTGTGTGTGAGGAATGGAGGCTGTGTATGTGAGGAATGGAGGCTGTGTGTATGTGAGGAATGGAGGCTGTGTGTGTGAGGAATGGAGGCTGTGTGTGAGGAATGGAGGCTGTGTGTGTGAGGAATGGAGGTTGTGTGTGTGAGGAATGGAGGCTGTGTGTGTGTGAGGAATGGAGGCTGTGTATGTGTGAGGAATGGAGTCTGTGTGTGTGTGGAATGGAGGCTGTGTGTGTGTGAGGAATGGAGGCTGTGTGTATGTGAGGAATGGAGGCTGTGTGTGTGTGTGTGTGTGTGTGTGTGAGGAATGGCGGCTGTGTGTGTGTGAGGAATGGAGGCTGTGTGTGAGGAATGGAGGCTGTGTGTATGTGAGGAATGGAGGCTGTGTATGTGTGAGGAATGGAGGCTGTGTGTATGTGAGGAATGGAGGTTGTGTGTGTGAGGAATGGAGGCTGTGTGTGTGAGGAATTCTGGCTGTGTGTATGTGAGGAATGGAGGCTCTGTGTGTGTGTGAAATGAAGGCTGTGTGTAAGGAATGGAGGCTGTGTATGTGAGGAATGG